CATTATACAGCGCAATGGAGAATACCACCAGCTATAGAGGACTACAAATCCCAGCAATAATACATTATATACAGCGCAATGCAGAGTAACGCCAGCTACAGAGGACTACAAATCCCAGCAATAGTACATATGTAGTATAATGTAGTATTGCTACATTCCTCTATAGCTGCTGGTATTCTGCACTGCGCCGCTGTATTATGTACTATATTGCACACCACACTCTTTTTTTTTACTTCTACCGCACCAAGCTTGCTCCCGTGATGGACTACAATCTCACCACAAACTAGTAGTCCATCACTGGAGCCTTTTTTTAAATCTGATTAACCGATTAATCGAACTTAATAATCGGCCAACTAATCGATTATGAAAATAATCATTAGCTGCAGCCCTAGTTATTACTTTCTGGGGCTAAATGAGAAAAGAATGCTCAATTTCCCCATCCACACTCTACAGCATGGATGGGGGTCCTGATAACTGGCACCCACAGCTGTCAGAATTCCTGAACCGTGACCCCAGCTAATTTGTCTGCAGTTACTGTTCGTCCAATGATTTTCGGGCCTGGCTTTTGTTGCATGGAGTGGTGCCGGCAGGGCCACCCACAGTTCGAGTTTTTGCCAGGTCAGCAGAATTTGGCTGAAATTTAAGTAGTGCATGGCCAGCTTTTGGACATTGTAAATGGACTTTTGTGTTTTACATGGTTTGTGACGTGTTTTTAAAATGCAGCTTTTGGATTAGATTGCATGCATTGTGCACTTACATTTCTTTCTTTCATTTGATTCCTCTATATAAATACATGTAAAATTCAGGACAAACTTGAACTGGTCTCTGTTCAGCCTAAAATGCAAGTCTGAAGCTCATTTTCCTAGTTAAATATGCGCAACTCCAGTTGTGTCATGGAAGCTGAAGATGTGCCTGGCTGCTATAAACTGTAAAGATACTTATATAGCTATAGGCCACTTTCTAGCAGTTGCAATCACAAAACATTTAATCAAACTAAGGCTTCATTCATACAATGCATTTTTGGGATTCCTATGGCAGAATTCCAAATCTCCAGTTTAGATGTGGCCCCTGTCACCCCTTCAAGTTAATGACCAGGTGACCGTGGCCGCATCTGTATGTGATCATATGTGATATGATTACAATAGATGCATCCAGGGACGGTGATCTATTCCAAACCATTGTATCCCATATAATCACATGCGGACTGTTGCTTACAGATGTGCCCAGCTGTCACCTGGTCATTAAAGGAAAACTATGAGGTGAGTGATTTTTACTGCTCCTCATAGTTGGAGCCGACGTGTGATAATGAAACTGTCGCAGGTCGGCTCTATAGATCGGGAAGTGAGTGAACACATGCCATCGCTCGCTCACTTTCCAATCATTTCCCTGCAGAGATCGGTGACTGTCAGTCACCGCTCCCCACAGGGATTTCCCCTCCCCTCTCTGATCCTTCCATCGCTGATTGGAGGAACGTACGATGGAGGGGGGCGGGCACAGCTTGCTTTGCCTCTAGATGGGCAGAGCTAGATGGGCAGAGCCAGCTGTCAATCAGCCAGCTGGGTGGATCTCAACAGTATTGTCTGGATCTGTGCCGGCTGCAGCACTCTCCAGTATAAGGCTAGCTTTGGGTCACGGAAGGAGGTTAGCATATGTCCTCCCGTGACCCTAAAGAGAAATATGGGATAAAAAGGTTACCACATCGTTCTCTTTTAACTTGAACGAGTGACACCGGGCGCATCTAGATGGAAGATTTGAGAATCCTGCCCAACGCATAGTGTGAATCCTACCACCATTAGCTTATATATGAACATTTATAAAGTGCATTGTCTTGTAACGCAGACCACAGCGCGGGTCTAAAAATCTTGTGTGGTGGTGTTTACCATTATTCATGAAGTCTGGTCACCTACTTCCTGTCAGAATGAACTGAAAAAGAATGTAGTCTAAACAGTTTTCTGATTTCTAATGGCAAAGCTGAAAAAAAGTGATATAAAAATATCATAGAAAAAAATACATAAGAAAAACAAAGCAGGGTCATGCAAGTAGTACAATACATAAAATGAAGTAAAGATTCTTCTGTCCCATTACAAACACTACAAGTACGAGTTCACAGTCTAGAGCTCGTATTGCATAGTAGTGTGTGTGTGTGTGTGTGTGTGTGTGTGTGTATGTATATGTGTGTATATATATATATATATATATTAGGGCTGGTAATGATTACAATTTTTGTGTTCGATTAATCGAAATTTTTTTTAATTGATTAATTTCGATTAATTATAATGCACATACAGATCCAACTACATTGGCCTATACATATAAAGCACAGCAATGAAGTCATACAATGAACTAGGATCACACTAATCCAGACACATTAATTAGACACATTAGATCACACTAACCTGCCGATTTTATCGTACGATAATCGCCGGTGATCCCGCAATTGTAAGATAATCGGCAGGTGTATGGGCAGGGTGCGACCGCTTCTACTGTACGGTCGCACGACTTTCATCTTCCAAGCACGCTGGAAAACCTGCCGAAAATCGTACGATTTGGGGCATGCTCGGAAGACGAATGCCACGCGGGCCGATGTGCCTCAAGCGCACACTGCCCGCTCAGCACTGCAATCATTGCAAGCCCTCCCCTCGGCGGGGAGGGCTTGCGATGATAGCTAGTACGATCTGCCTGACCAAGATGGGCAGATCGTGCAAAACTTTAATCACCTTACAACAATCAAAGTCGTGCGATGGTTGTGAGGCGTATGGGCAGCCTAAGACATGTTAGGTTAATTGGCTCCTGTCTAAATTGTCCCTGTGTGTGTGTGTGTATCTATGCTTGTGAGATTGGGACCTTAGACTGTAAGCTCCTTGAGGGCAGGGACTGATGTGAATGTGCAACAATGTAAGGCTGGGTTTACACCTAGGCGTATCAAATATGCACGTTTGTCACGCGTTTTTACCGCGATTCGCAGTAAAAAAAAGTGCTACAAACGCGTGTTTCCGAGGGCTACCTGGCTGTATCCCAATAGATACGCACGGCAAATACGCCCCAAAGAAGCTCCTGTACTTCATTGGGGCGTAGGGTGTTTTGTAGCGCGTTCATACGGCCTGTAATACGCCCAGGTGTGAACCATACCCATAGGAAATAATGGGATTTCGGTGTTTGAGCGTTTTGCAGAGCGTAGGGACGTGCTACAAAACGCCCAGGGTGAACCAGGCCTAAGGCCTTGTGTAAATTGTTAGTGCTATAGAAATACTTGCAATAATAAATGAGCGCTTCTTGTTTTGCAGCCAAATTAGGATAACACCAACTTTTATATTTATTACCTGTTCCTAAGGCTGCAACTTCCATAATCGATTAGTTAGTGTCGCTATAAGCTTATTTGTAGTTTATTTTTGAGTAAGTGTGCAGTGGATAGCCATGCTTGTGGCACAATCTATGACCGTATATATTCATATAGTTTTTTTGTTTGTTTTTTTTCTCTTGTTCTTTAGCCAAGACAAGTCTGGATCCTTTGAGAGAGCGGAGTCTGTGGCTACAACAGAAGCACGGCTGAGGATGGAAGGAGTAGAATTTAAGGAAGAATGGCAGGATGAAGACTTTCCCAGGTAATTGTATATGATTTACATACGGTGTATCTAGTGCTTCCTCTATCTGTGGTGGAAATTCTGCTTTTTTTATTTTACTTATTTGTTTGAAAAACTTTCTCGTTTACCCAAAGTGTGCAAGTAATGAAGTAGTATTTCATTTCTCTTCACTTAATTACAGGAATTGACAGATAAGCCAGATCAGTATTCAGTAATAAATATCGAAATGCGTGTGAATGCTCAGAGACTCATTCATGTGTTTGCTCACAAGACTGAAGCAAAAAAATAGTGTGTATGTGTAAAATATATATGTATTTGTGGGTGTGTGTATATACATACTTACATACATACATACATACATGATCAGAACTTGGAACATTTCCCCCAGATGTTGTGGAGCTGAGAGGGGGAAATAAATGTTCTAGAGTCCAGCACAAGAGAACTGGGCAGGGATGACAACACTGTTTGGGATTTCAGGCAAAGTTACAGAGAGTTAGGAGGTTGCTGGATTTCTAGCAGGATCAATGGGTATTGTCCTTTACATTTTTAAAAAGAGAGCTATATTGAATATGTATTTATTTATTGCCCAGATATACACTTTAAAATGTGCTGCTGGTCACACAAGGATATTAAGATTGCTTGTTTCACATCATCAGACCTGTTTGATTGCTACCAAATAGTCTCTACATCTCTCAGATTTCATTGTAATCAGTATAATGTTGTATTGCAACTCCTAATTTTGTTTCTGTTGTCTGTTTTTTTTTTGCTATAACAAAACTGGTTGTCTGCGTGTTGAAATGCACATAAATGTAGCCCCCTTTTTTTTGGTGGAAAAGTGCCTCTCCACTTTTTCACTCTGTACAATTGGCCAATCGTCATGTGACTGATTTTTTTTTGCAGGACCTTATCACCACAGGGTCACATCTATACACGAGAGAGCCTGTAAAAAAGGATAATGTGGTTCCTTTAGTGACATATGAGCCAGCAGGTGAAATCACAGCATGTGGTGGGGACAGGGTCCCTTTAAGAGAACAGTAATGGGCCTTTTCATTGTTTTTGTATAATTTTTATTAGTATAAGACATAAGAAAAGATATAAAAGCAACACAGGATGATGGTCAATACTAAATAACATGCAGAATATAGGATTCACAATCCATTCCATTAATTTCAAGTAAACGCAATTAGGAAAATCCTCGAGTGGGATCCCGGTGCTTGAAAAGAAGAGGGTAAGAAAAAGCCAGAGTCTGGGGAGGGTAAGAATAGGGATGAAAGAATGCAAGTGGGGGGAGGAGGTTGGATAGACGACAAGGAGGGATCAAGAGGGGAAGGTAGGATCATATCCAATTGTACATTTTGCACATATTCCAGCAAGTATTGATAATTCCAAGTTCAAGGTTTAACTTAGGAGAACTTTACAACTCATGCAGTGACAATAAATTCCATTCTGCATTACAGTACTACATCTTCACCTTTGGTGTTCCGGGATATATTCAGGGATACCTGACAGGAGACAGTAAGACAATTTGTTCGCTAGTACTTATTTAGTGCAAACCTGGATCCACTGTGGGCACCTTGTTTAGATAAGAGGGAGTTGTTTTGTATGCCACCCAGCAGGCCCATGTTTTGGAAAGGTGCTCTTTGTTGTCCAATCTGGTTAAGGTGAGCTCTTCCATGCGGTAAATCTGTTCTACCTTATTGAGCCATTCCAGTAAGGACGGGGGAGGTAGATTTCCAATTAGCAGGGATTAAGGACTTAGCCGCATTTAGGAGATGTGGTGTAATGGAACGGGCATATCTACCTACATGACCTTTCTCCCCATGGAACATTACCACCCAAGGGTCGAAATGTACCGGGCATCCCTGAATTGTGAGTATCTCTGACGTTACCTCTCTCCAGTAAGAGGCAATGCCGGGACAGTGCCACCAGATGTGTGCATGTGTAGCTACCTCCCCACAGCCCCTCCAGCATTGGGGAGTGATAGAGACATCCATCTGATGCAGTCTCTGGGGTGTGTAATACCATCTGCTGATTAACTTGAAGTTAAGCTCCTGAATACGTGTGGATCTGGAGAGCCCCAAAGATAAAGCCAGTATGCGGGATCTAGTCTGCTCTGTAAGTGGACTGTCCAGTTCCCTTTCCCAGTGTGTCAGATGGAGTGGGGTTGGAGAAGCTTCCATGTGGGATAATGTGGCGTATATGGAAGAAATACATTTGGTAGGAGCGGAGTCAGCTGGAAAGAGCTGCTCCACGGGATTCAGTTCCGATCTGGATCTCAGTGGGCCCGGGAGAGACCTCACAAAATGGGATAGTTGTACATATCTCCACTTGTCCATGGTCGAGGTGCTATTATCTGGAGTCAGGGAGGCTAGCGGCTTGATACACCCGTTGTGCAGTAACTGATGGAGTAGCAGCTCTGATCCTTCCTGGATCCATGAGCGGTAGCCCCCATCCAGAAGTCCCGGGGAGAAATAGCTATGTCCTAATAAGGGCATCAAGAGGGAATTGTAGTCCCATCGTTGTTTACTATGGATTGCATCCCATATAGACAACGTTGTGGTAGTCAGAATGTGAGTGTCTCCTGATAGTGTTCTGTAATTGCCGCGGGACCCAGCAAATTTTATGTAAGGGCGCTTGACTTAAAGCATATTCCATCTGCACCCACAGTTTGGTGTCCGATGCATAATGCCAATCCATGAGTCTCGCAAGTGATGCAGCTTTGTAATACCTGTGAAAATCTGGTAGGGAGACCCCTCCCAAAGATTTCGGTCTAGTCAAAGTTTTGTATATAATGCGGGCTGTACTGCGTTTCCATATAAACCTAGAAACCAGTGAGCGCAAGAGGGCAAAGTAGGTGGGGGGGACCCCCATGGGCAACATTTGAAAGAGGAAGAGCAGTCTCGGCAATACATTCATCTTAATGGCATTTATTCTGCCCATCCAGGAGTGGTATTGAGGGGACCAGCGATTTCAAGTCTGCTCGGATTTCATTTAATAAGGGCATGTAGTTATACCTGAATAAGTCTTTCAGTCGGGGCGTGTAGTTAACTCGCAGACACTTCAGTTTGTGCGACTGCCAGGTAAAGGGAAAATGGGATTGCAAAGTTCTAGCCTCATCCATGGGTACAGTCAGATTCAGAATAGTGGATTTCGAAAAGGTTAATTTTAAAGTTGGACAATTTGTTATATTCTTTTAGTTCTAAAAGTAAATTTGGAAGGGAGATACGCGGATTACTAATGTAGAATAGAATGACGTCCGCGTATGCCGCATATTTATGTTCTTTGGGTCCCACCTGTACCCCTCTGATAACGTTGCGGGCTATCGTGGCCAGGAAAGGTTCTAGGGAAACGGCAAACAGCAGAGGCGACAAAGGGCAGCCCTGCCGCGTGCCATTTCCCAAAGAAAAGGAAGGACTGAGCACCCCATTAACCCGCACCTGTGCCTGAGGGTCATGATATAACAAGGAGATCCGGGACAGTAATCTCGAACGTATCCCCATGGCGCCCAGAGTTGCTAGCATGAAATCCCAGGCCACTCTATCAAACGCTTTTTCCGTGTCCGTTGATAGCAGTAGTGTGGCCTGGGATGTCCCGCGAACGTGGGAGATAATCGACAGGGTACGTAGAGAGTTGTCTCTAGCCTCACGTCCCGGAATAAATCCCGTCTGGTCTGGAGACACAAAGCGAGGTATCAATGGCTGAAGGCGGAGTGCTAGAACCTTCGAATAAAGTTTTAACATTAACATCTACATTTAACAACGAGATTGGCCTATAACTAGGGCAGCAAGTGAGATCCTTGCCCGGTTTGGGCAGTACCGTGATATGCGCCATGGTCGTTTCTGGGCGTAGGGACCCACCCGTAGTAATAGAGTTAGCGTAATTAGTCAGGTGGGGAAGTAATACCTCTTTAAACGTGTTTATAATAAGGGAGTGTGAGGCCGTCGGGGCCTGGAGCCTTACCCGATGCCATCGTGCCCAATGCCTTATTGAGTTCCTCACTGGTAATTTCCGCTTCTAGAGCTTCCATCTCTTCCTCTGGAAAAGTTGGAAGTCTAGCGTTCCGCAAATACTCAGCAATAAGAGAATTCCTGGCTTTGAGGCATTCGCCTGATTGAGCAGATTTGTCAATCACGTTGTATAAAGAGCTGCAGTAATCACAAAATACTGTCGCTATTTCCGTAGACAGATGGACCACTTTGTCATCTTTATTTTTAATTTTGGGGATGTATGTAGTAGAATGTTGGTGGCGTAGGGACCTAGCTAGCGACTTAACCCGGTTTGTTACCCCATTCGTAACTCCGCTGATTCATCCACATTAATTTTTGGGCAGTTTTGTGATTAAGGAGTGTTTTTAGGTCTTCTCTAGCCTGTAGCAGTGAGTGAAAGTGGCTAAGTTGTAGTGAGCGTTTATGAAGGCGTTCTAAGGACCTACATTTTTCCAATAAGGACTGCAATTCTTGCTCAGCCTCTCGTTTTTTCCTGGCGCCTAGCTCAATCAGCCGCCCTCAGATAACTGCCTTGTGGGCCTCCCATAGCACCGATGGAGGGGTATCTGGAGTGGCATTGGCCCGAAAGTAATTCTGCAGATCCGTGAGCAGTTGTTCTTTTGCTAAGGGGCACCGCAGTAAGCATTCATTAAGTTTCCAATTGGTAGATCTGGAGGGGATCGACGGCCAAGTAAGGGAGGTCAGAACCGGAGCATGGTCTGACAGCGTTCTAGTGGCTATGGAGGATGTTTTGACCAGGTGTAGGTTATGATGGTCCACAAATATCATGTTAAGACGGGAGTAGGACGCATGAGTGGCTGAGTAGTGGGTGAAGTCCCTACCAGCTGGAAACGTAAAACGCCATGTGTCTACCAATTGTGCTTTGTGTAAGATAGATTTGATAAACAACAGTTGGTTATAGGAAATTGCTGATCGGCCCGATGAGGTATCTATATGAGGGTCTAGTACGACATTGAAGTCCCCTCCCACCAATAACACTCCACTGGCAAAATCTGAGAGCTTATTAAATGTCTTAGATAAGAAGCCCGCCTGGTCCTGATTCGGACAATATATATTAGCCAAAGTACAGGTGGTATTGCCGAGACTGCCCCTCACAAACAAATAGCGCCCTGAATCAATAGTTTGCATTTCAGATAATATAAAAGGGGTACCCCTGCGTAGACCAATGGCAACCCCCTTAGCATGATTCGTGTTTGACAAACTATAATACCAGGTGGGGTAATGGTACGACTTCAGTCGTGTATCAGTAAACGTTGATAAGTGAGTCTCCTGTAAGAACGCTATATCGCAGGAGAGCCGTTTCAGTTCTCCCAACACCTGGTGACGTTTGGTAGGGGTGTTGAGGCCCCTAACATTGTAAGATGTCAAATTTACCGTTGCCATGGTGACGCAGGAGTTCCCTTGAACAACCATATAGATATATAGACATTGGTGACCCTACCAAGGACAGTAGAAGAGTAGAGGGAGGGAGGGTAATCATAGAGAGGAAGATTGTAGAAAAGAACATGTAAAACAGAGAAAAAACACGGAGAAATCTCCGACATAGCACAATATTGAGGGTCTGAGGCCTGACCCTCGATATGATACTTGAGCAAAGGAGGATCCAATGGCCTCCAGTGCCGTCCCCAGGTGGAACGGGAACACAGCCCCAGCAACCAAGTGCCTCATGGGGGGGGGGGTGCATGTTAACCCAAGGAGTCTCAGCGTCCCACATCAAGTACTCAAAAACTGAATGCAATGTGAGCAGGCTGTAACCGTCAGCCCGACCAGTAAATTGTAAAAAATGTTGTAACTACAATCAGTCAACTGATGCCGTTAAGGAACAGGGTAAGCAAATAACGGTTATAGGAAATGACATCTGGGCCCAACCGGTGCGATCCAGATGATGCCTACCGTCCGCCATGACGTACAAAATGCCCATAAGAGAAAATTTCGGAGTCGGCCCTCAAAGGGTTGTCTGACCCCGCTCACCCTAGTCCGTCAGGGTTGACAGTCCGTCACTTGCAACGTTTCTTTGGGGAGGATTTCCATCCGCTGCTTGCATCTGGGCCGGGCTCCGGTATGTTGCTGGGCCAGCCTGGTAGATCCGGAATCGAAATCCCCATTTCAGTGCAGAAGCCCTCCAACTCTTCAGGGAAACGCAGGGTCATCGAGCGGCCTCCATTTTTAGCAATCAGACAAGAGGGAAATCCCCAACGGTAAGTAATATCTGCTTGGCGGAGGCGGTCTAGAAGTGGACGCAGGGCCCTGCGACGTTCCAGGGTTTCTCGGGCCAGGTCTGGGAAGATGTGGAGTTGCGCCCCATCAAAATTCACTAAAGATAACCCCCGCAATTTCCTGGATACTTCCTCTTTGTCCGCAAAGTAATGGAATCTGCAGATGACATCTCGAGGAGCTGTATCTGATTGATTGCGCGGGCGCAAGGCCCTGTGAGCTTGGTCAAAGCGGAGGGGTGCAGTGGCCGAGCGACCCAGTATAGAGTTAGATACCTTGCAAAGAGTCCATCAGATCCGCGTCCGCGGTAGCTTCTGGCAGTCCCCGGATCCTTAGGTTGTTCCTCCGACTGCGATTCTCCTGGTCTTCCACCTTGTATAGAAGAGAGCGGTGCTCTATCGCCATCGCACGTTGTGATTCCCGGATTTCTCTTATTTCCCGATCATGTCCATCCAGTCGGGTTTCGGGAGTCCTCCACTCGGGTCAGCAAATGGGAGAGGTCAGAGTGCACATTGGATAAGTCCTGCTTGAGCGAGGACTCCAAAACCTGGAACATGTGGGCCAGATCAGACTTGGTCGGGAGGTCTCTTATTACCTCTGATACCTGCATATCAGCCGATATACAGGTGAAACTCGAATAATTAGGATATAGTGCAAAGTTCATTTATTTCACTAATGCAACTTAAAAGGCGAAACTAATATACGAGAGAGACTCATTACATGCAAAGCAAGATAGTTCAAGCCGTGATTTGTCATAATTGTGATGATTATGGCTTACAGCTCATGAAAACCCCAAGAACCCCAAATCCACAACCTCAAAAAAGTAGATTATTACATGCAATCAATAAAACAAGGATTGTACATAGAACAATATCGGACCTCTGAAAAGTACAAGCATGCATATGTACTCAGTTCTTGGTTTGGGCCCCTTTTGCAGCACTTACTGCAATTACTTTTGCACGATATTCTAATTATTCGAGTTTCACCTGTAGGTGCAGGAGAGGGAGCATCAGAGTCGCTGGGTGATTCCGGTGAGTCCATGGCTGGGGACTGCTGTGAGGCGGTTTGAGCTGCCTTCCTTTCTGAAGGTGGCTGCCTCCTGGTAGGCTGCGATGTGGTGGCGGGAGGCGAGCGTGGTTCCGAGATCAGATACTTCTTTAGGGTGCCGGAAAACGTTTTTTTCGATCCGGATGATCTCTGGCCCTTTCTCCCCATGATCGGGCTCAATGCGGTTCAGGTTGGGCGAAGTAGAAGTTAGATTAACGGCAAGTTTCGTCGGGCTGTGGCCGGAGCTCTGCTCAAGTGCGACCGCTCAGCGCCATGCATTAGCCACGCCCCCCTTTTCATTTATTTTTAATTTTTTTTTGTACTGTATGTAGACGTTCCAGCCAATGCATGGGGTGCTTCTGTTTCCCTGCAGGGATCTGGCAACACTGTATCTTGGTCTTTCACTAACTAGAATGATTCTGCCTGCTGGCACCATGTACAGGCTGGGCAGTGATTTTAAGATAATTCTAAAAAAAAAAATATTTCTAGAAACTTCTCATGTTAATCCAATTTTGGTAAGCAGTTCAGTTTTATATTCCTTTTTATCCCTTCTCCCTCCTTTTCCCTTTTACCCTAAAAGAACAAGGTTTCTCAATGAGTTGTATACAGTAATACAAGTTAGATTGATGTAGCAATGTTGAAGTGCAATGTTTGTTTAGACTAGATGTGTATATATGAAAATAAGATGTACTGTTGCAGTCACCTTTTTGTAAAAACAATAGCAGCACCAGGTGTACAGAGGCCTTTCCAATGATATGTCTGTTTAGCCCGTATTCAGAGGATCTTACCACTGTTTATAGATTAGTGTTGTTTCCTATGTTGAATAGAAAGTAACATAAGAACCGCTGACCTCTTCAGCTGCTATGAATGGTTTTATGATGATGGTCGTTCTATAATTTACAGACCACTTCCAGAAGATGACCATATAGAAGGGGATTACTTATCTGGAACAGACAGAGAGGGCAGACCAGGTAAGAGTGCTTTACCTTCATAAATTAAACACAACATCATTGTGCTCGTAGTTTATAGATAATGGAATTCAAAACCATTCGAGTGACTTGATCAGGAGATATTGAATTGAACTGATATAAAGCTACTCGCAGAGGTTTCTTATATTTCTTTTCGCATTTAGCTAATGTTTCTGGTAAATGGCTTTTCAGTTATTGACATTTAATTCGAGTTTGTTTTTAGTTGATTGAAATGTTACAAAAAAAGGTTTGGTTGTGTCAGGCAGATAAAATTGTTGCTTGATGTCCTGTCCAGCCTCTTGTCAATTCTGTAATATGCTTTAAAGTGACACTAGACTCAGGATTTAAATCTTAAAAATACATTTAAGTACCTGAACTATTAAGAAAAAAGTATCTTATTTGTATATCACTCAGCTGTAGATCCTCAAATCATCTCTGAACTGGTGCTGGCACTATCCTTCCTTGTGGAGGGTGGCTACTTTTGTTCCCCATGGTCCCTGTGTGTGCTGTAAAGTAACCATCGCTCCAAGCTCACTCCCGTGATGGACTACAATCTCACATTTAGCTTACTCATTTGTATTGAGATTGTAGTTCATCACGGGAGTGAGCTTGGAGCAGTGGCTACTTTACAGCACACACAGGGGCCATGGGGAACAAAAGTAGTCACCCTCCAGAAGGAAGGACAGTTTTGGCGCCAATTCAGAGATGATTTGAGGATCTACAGCCGAGTGATACACAAATAATAGGAATACACTGATACTGGTTTTTCGCTATCGAGTACCGATATTTATATTTCAGTACTCGCCAATACCAGTACTTCGCTACAATGCAGCCGGCTTCCAAGGCAATTAAGAAGCCGGGCGGCGGGTAATAATTGTTTGGCCGGCTCCATGCTGATTGGCCGGGAAGCAGGCTTCCCAGCCAAACGGCATCGAGCCAGCCAAACAGCACGGCTCCGTGTTCCCTTGCAGCACTGCCGGTCAGAGGGAATCCCCCTCTGACCGGAAGTTCCCATATCAACCAACTACTCGGTATCAGCACCAATACTAGTACTGGTATTGGTGCATCCCTAAAAAAATAAGATACATTTTTGTTAGGGTTCGGGTACTTGAATGTATTTTTAAGATTTAACTCCTCTGAGTTTAGTGTCAGCGTAATCTCTTATGTGCCCCATATAACTGTCCTACCTTACTCTTTTATAGCAGCAAGTATCCTACTTGTCCATAACTCAACTCTAGGTGTGATTTAGGCCTCCATTTGGATTGCAGTTGCCATGGTGCTGCACATGCGATCATCTTTGACCCCAGCCAGTGAGAGCTTGAAAGTTTTAAGTGCTGAAATAAGCACACTTGCAATTTTGACAGTCGGAAAATAATTGTTTTGAGATACCATTAAATTGGTGGTTCTAGTTCTGCCCTAAGATCATGTTTCTGGATCATATTGAAAAACAATTTGCATGTCTGGCTAGCAAAAGGCCTTAGGCTATGTTCACACCATGTCCTGACCAGATCTGGAGCAGATCTGCAAACGCAGTGCATTTCATTGTTGATGCTCCTTCTTTCTTTTTTTTTTTTTTTTTTTTTAAAGCTTAAAATAGGCTTTCAGGTGCAGTCCAGTGTGATGCTTTTCCAAGCGTTTCAGTGCATTCCAGCATTTCAGGCCAGGGAGAAATGAGACCAGTCATTTTTTTTTTTTTCGACTGTACCGGAGCGGAATGTGCTGTGCCCAGAAATACCATAGGCATACATGGGGATGATTTTTTTTTTATTTATTTATTTTATTTTTTTATTCTTTATTTTCAGTTTTCCATTTGTATAAAACAGTAGATGGGTAAGAAAAGAAAAAGGAGTTGTGCAGTACATTGGATACAGCATGAACACGCAAAGTGTAGATAAGAGTTGACAAGTCCACTGGTATTGTAGCCTCAATCACGGTAGGGTATATAAACATTACAGATCGTATACAAGCATCCCTACCCTTAGGTGGGGCGCAATCAGTAATTATTTTTTTTGGTCCGGGAACTGTTCTGATCTGGACATGATCCGGACATGGTGTGAACAAGCCCTTAAGCATACTTACCTTTTGGCCATACATTTTTTTTTTTCCAATTAAAAATTGTTTAAGCAAGGTTAACAACAAACTTGCCTAAATTCTAACCTCTGGTAAAGCAGTTTGGTTTTGCCTCTCTGCACCTCACACCTAGCCTTTGCTGTGATTTAATCTTTTTTGCCTGCGTTTTCCTTGTGGCTATGGATGGTGTTCCTCTAATAACACTTAGAAGGAATTCTTACTTGTACGAGTGTTTTTCGGTTTTTTTCAAATGCAGATTTCAAATCTCTATATTAGTTCTGACACCATCAAACCATTATTGTTTAACTTGTTCCCAGACCTACAAACCGGTGATTTGTCCAGATAATGTAATCTTTCTTTTATCTATCTACGCTCTCTGAGACCAGACATACTGTCTCCATGGGACTACCTAGCTTGAGACGTCACATGCGCCAATAGATAGGGCATGTTTACCATAGAAGGGGAATATTTATTCAGATACCAGAGTACTTATCACACTTTGGCAAGCTACTGTTTAAAAAAAAAAATGAATTTCAGTCTGCGCACTGATATATAGTCTTTGTGGCATACCAATGTTTGATTTACTGTAATATTTTATTTTAATTATACATAATAAAAATTTGACATGCTTAAAAAATAAAAAAATTATGAAATGTTCAAATCATTTAGGAGGCACAGATGATTGTTTTAAATTTGAATGCAGTACTAAGACTTTTTATCTTATGTGGGCACCTGGACAGACAATTACCTTTTGTGGCTATTGCTAAAAATGTTCTTTTCCCTTTAAAGGAGAACTATGGGGTTCTATCTTTTTTCTTAATGCATTCCTTAGGCTAAATAAGTAAATAATGTAATTTACTCTAATTAGCCAAAATGCACAGTAAGGCTGTAAAACCTCCAATGACATCATTTACCATATATGGGGATCTCCAGTGACATCATTTACCATATATGGACTTTCCCATTTGTAGTAAATGCTGAAGAGAGAGAGAGAGCTCCTTCCCCTCTGTCATCAGCGATCAACGATCATTTTAGTATGTCAGTGTCAGCAGGGGGAGAGAGAGAGAAAGGTGGGAAGGAGCTGGCACACGGGGATGTGCAGGTAAGGAGAGAGCTGCTGCGCATGTCCATATATTCGTGGACGCGCAGCAGCTCTCAAGAATCACTCAGTCATCAGTGGGGAGGATCCCGTCAGATACGTCGGGATGTCTTCTCATTGTGGCGCTTAGCCCCGCCCACCACCTTAAATAAGGTTTTACAGCCTTACTGTGCATTTTGGCTAATTAGAGTAAATTACATTATTTACTTATTTAGCCTAAGGGATGCATTAAGAAAAAAAAAGATAGAACCCCATAGTTCTCCTTTTAAGCTGTAGCTTGTGATGCATGTTAAGCATTGCCCACTCCTTAACTAGGACTCAGCTTGAGGAGAGCAGAAGGTAAACGAGAACTGGAGCTTCTGCTGTGCTGAGAGGGTCTGTTGGCTGGGAAGTTCCTTTGACATATATAGCCAGTTCTATGACTGTATGCTGAGGACCTTGCCATGACCTCCCTTTCAGTCAGTTCATTTCAGTGTGGCTGGTTGAAGAAAGAATTTGCAAAGTTCTAGACTCATTCTTCAAAATTATAAAGCCAAAAGCCATAGTGTGTGGAATAGTACAGAAGATCCCTGGGGCCATGTAAAAAAAAAAAAATAATTAACCACTTCAAGACCAGGTGTTTAGACCCCCTTCCTGGCCAGGCCATTTTTCAGTGTTCAGCGCTGCAGTCCATTGACTGACGTTTATTCAGTCATGCAACGCTGTACTGAAATGAATTTTATACCATTTTTTTTTTTTTTAGGGACAGATAGAGCTTTCTTTTGGTGGTATTTAATCACCACTGGGGGTTTTTATTTTTTATTATAATTAGGAAAAATTACAGAAAAGGTTTTTTTTTTACATTTATGTTAGGAAACATTTATTAACCAGTTTTTTGGTAAAATATAAAAGATCGGGTCACGTCGGGTAAATAGACACCAAACATGTCAAGCTTTAAAATTGCGCGCACCTGCGAAATCGCAGAAAACTACCATACCCAAAATTGGCCATAGGCGACACTTTAAAAGCTTTTACCGCTCATCAGTTTAGTGTTATCAGTGATTGATGGCGCTAGACTTATTGCTCTCACTCTGACGTTCGCGGCGATATGTAGCATGTGTGGCGCAATGGGCGCAATCGTCTTTTTTGCGCGTATGCGCCCCCGACGCATGTTTGCATGCGTGTATGTATGGGTGGGGACTTTAAAAACATTTTTGTTTTTTTATTCTTTTTTATGTGTAACTTTAACTTTGGGGGGGGGACCCCTAATGTCACCTAGGACACTCCAAAAGAAGCTGATTAAGCACAGATCTGCTCAATCAGCTTCTTTCCAGCTTCTGAAGCTGGAGAGTGACACAAGAATGCGGAAGTGATGTATTATACAACACTTCCGCATTCTTTCAGAGAGGGGGCCGGAGGGAGCTCGTGTACCAAGCTCTCTCTGATCCCCTGTGACACAGCCGATATGCTGATCCCGGGCTACTCTTGGTAATTGGTGGCAGCTAGTGTGTCATTTGTTTTTACAGAATAGCAGCAGCTGGATAGTCTTTAAATTTAGAAGGAATCCAGAATAATGCCACTTGTAACGGTCATTTACGTATATGAAGCTTTGTCCTAATCTTGTATGTTTTAGTAAAGATGTGTTCAGAGGAGTGGTGAGCTGCACCTTCCAAACACATTTCACTGTTATGAACTTCCTGAACAGACCAAGAGACTTATCTGCACAGATGACAGTCACCCTTCATATATATATGTACCCATAATAGATACTCACAGACAAAAGTCTGATTGCACACCACAAGCTTCACTGAAAAATGTATTGTAGCACACAGGTACACATCGCCCCGCAGTGGATCTTCTTCACTCTGATATGTTTCACCCAATAATGGGTTTGGTCATAGAGTCCTTGTGACCAAGTACACTATTAGATGAAACATGTTAGATGATCGAAGAGGATCTGCCGCCGGATGATGTGTACCTGTGTTACAATAACAATTTTCAGCAAATCTTGCAGTGTGTGACCAGACTTTTCCTGTAACTGCTGATGCTTGAGCAAGATGGGCTTAGCCGGTGTGCACCTGTCATTATTTCTGGTGTTGCTATAAAGGAGCAGTGATACTGGGCTATGGAAGGTATGTATTAATAAAACTGTAGTTCAGCTGACATATTTTGGGAAATGCAGAGCAGTGAGCCGTAAGTGTACAGTGTAGCTGCTGAATTTAGATTTTATTTTAATACTCAATTTTTCCTCCTAATTCTTTTCAACTGTCTGTTTTATGTCCCTTATGTTTGTGGACCCTGTCTGTCTGCTTTAGCTTGGGCTTTTCCAGTGCTGGATCAGTCAATTTATTGTATTCCTTACTCAGCATCTCGTAACTCACGCAAGTATCTACCTCCTAGCTATATCTGCATGTTACTTGGTCTGCTTGTCTATGCCTGCTGATTTTTAACCTTCTGTGGTTACTCCTTTTTGTCTGCACCCTTAGGATTCACTTGTCTTCAAGACAGAATGTGGGAATACACCTTTACATATTGGCCTCCAGGCAAAATGTAGAAAATGAAAGCCATTCTTATATTATGGAAAGACATCGGTGATGGTTTTATTGACTTAAAGAAATATTGTCATGACAAATATTTTGAGCTGCTGATGTCTTCTACAGTGCTAGTTGCTTGATTTTTGTGTTGATCCTCTGGTTTCAATGCTTCTGATTTTATGTATTTGTAACAAGTATGTCCTATGTGTCAGTAGTTTTGACTCTGTTCACATGCTTTGTTACATGTATGTTCTGGGCAAGAGGTTTGGAAAGTATTGAATCCAAAGACTGCCTGGCAACTAGCCTTTTCAGAGTAAGGTCAGCGAAGGAAACCTTCCTTTTAAAGTTGTACTTTAAACTCTTAAAATAGAGGTGCACTGAAATGAAATTTTGAGATGGAAAAAAAAAAAAATTCAAACGGGGGCGGAAAAAACACTTGCCTAACCTTCTTTTTTTTTTTTTAAATATTTGCTTTGGTGAAATATCCCAGGGTTCTATACAGACTCCTGATATGTCCCCTTTTACAATAGAAAAAGAGAACGAGGACACAGTCCTCAATCTCTTTTTCTGCAGCCCCAGCACTCAATGAACAGGAATCCTCTCTATACTGTACTGAGTGTTCCTGTTTATTCATAACTTGTGGCTATAGAGTGAGTTACTATGTACAGAATCATGAATGAATAGGAAGTGATATAGATCACTTCCCATTCATTCATAAATGGTACACAGTAACTCATACTATCTCCAGTTTTTTACAAACATTCAGCGATCACTGATCCGCTCTCAATCCTGGATCAGCGTTCACAGGAGGGTGAGCCGGCAATGCGGGGAGGAGAGCTTGGTCCCATTTGACAGCTGACTCCTCCCCCTCACCCATCTCAGTCTCCTGTGACAGTGCATGGCTGTCTCCGCCCACACACCACTCTCCTGATCTGTTACAGGAAGTAAGCAGGGCAATTTTAAAGTGATATTTCTTCCGATACATCATAGTACACGGATACTGTAAGTCTGGCCTGTTAAAGTGTCCAAACCAGTGCAGACACAGAGAGAACAAACTTGATGCAGATGGCATTCTTGATGAATTCCAGTGCTGTTTGGCCAGAGTGCTCTCCACTTTAGCCAAGGGCTCATTTTGACCAGTCACCATCAGTGAGATGTTTGTAAGCACGGCAACACAAATACACTGTGATTGGTTGCATAGGTCTACAACATTGGTGCGCAATCCCTAGCAGCATCATTTTAACAAGAATGAAAAATGCATGGGGTTACAGGATCCTTTTCACATACTGGTCAAGGCAAATCTGTTGTTTTTTCCTCACTCTGTTCCCTATTTAAATTTAGCAGCTGAGTGGACAGGAAGTCTATGCAAGTACTACTTTAATGTCTTTGTTCAATGAAATGTGTTAAATTTAAAGCGGTCAGATGTGGGAGAGACAACTGCGTTCACAAGGCCTCTATGTGTGTATTTGATAAAAGCAATAATTTCATTAATTAACCTTTAATGGGATTCTCCTGATCATTATTAGTTCTCTGTTTGATCTATTGTATGAAAAAAAATAAACTCATCTTTGAACATGCTATATATCTTGTGAGTTGGTCAGACACATTATGCATCATCAGAGGCTGACCATGCTTCTGTATAAACTGGCTGGGACGTGGTTTTTCAATCTCTTGTGGATTTCTACAAATATGCCTCTGTGTTTTGCTTGGCAGTGACATCATTTGTTAGGTGATGATATACAGTTTCTGTTGGGAGTGGTGCATCCTATGTGAATTTATAAAGCAGTTATGTCAAAGTAGTGCTCTTAGTGCGGCACAGGTTTTACTTCACCCCCCAGAGTCCCATGCCACTGTAGACTAGGGCTAGTGAACATAAGTAACTGTAGGGTTCCCAAGTACTGTCTGTATTCCGATGAGTTTAGAACCGCTCAAGCGAACTATGCGATCACTAGTTGTAGTTTTAAATTAATGTCTCTCAGCAGCACCTAGAAGACCTGTTGTAAGTGAATTATTCTTGCATTGCATGCATTCAGTATTGCCTGTGTGCACTGTGGACTCCAAGGGGCACACGTGACATTCACTGCAGGTGACTCTTCCAGGTCCATGAGTGATTCATTCACCACCAGAGAATGTTTGGTGACAGTTGCATTCACTGCTTTATAAATCGACCACTAAGAGGGTTTTATTTAATCTACGCCAACAGTCAGTGCTATTGTCCTTAAATGGTACCAATTACTGGGACATCCTTGTGGTTCCCATAGACTCCTGAATACAAAGGCCCTTAACCTCCACCTGTGGTCTGATACTTATGCAGTGGATCTCATGGAATACCATTCATTTTTCATGGTCCTGTTGCATTGCTTCTAGAACAGCTCTTAATATAGCCTAGGACTGCATAGGTGTGGAAAGTCCTTTTTGTTGCTACACTGACAGGTTACGAAAATTGAGGCTCCAACTGCAAATCTCCTTTTGCATGCAAGGACAACATATTTCTGTGCCGCACATTACCACCTCTATGGCATTTCCTTGTACTTTGTGGAACACGTGTTCCTGTTCAGCAGTTTCACTCTTTTTGCACTCAACGTTTTGTTATTTCACAGTGAACCAGTGATGCACAAGTTTAACTCATGGATAGCTTACGACTATTGCATTTTGCAAGATTTTGTTACTCTTGTCCATATTTTAAAAAAATTATCAATTAATGATTAAAGATTGCTTTGAAAGTCTACTTTTGTGGTATAGAATAGTAAAGCTTTTGCATCACTTTTAGTGTGGTTGTCACAGTTCATATATTGTAATGGTTTAAGGGTTCATTTAGATGAGTAGAAAGCTGAATCTTGCAGATGCAGCTCCCGTCTTTGTACTTCCTAGAGGGTTCATGGGCTTCATTCATCTCTGTGGTTATTCAGACCGAGCACAAGTGAGTACAGAGATGCACATCAGCAGTCAGGAAATGCACTGACGTGTCTCCCTATGCCTGCCATTTTTCTTTATTTTTTGCCTACGCTCAACACATTAAGTCTGATTGACAGCCTAATTCATCCGTGGCAGTGAACAAACCTAGTCGGTGGAGTAGGAAAGCCCATGTAGTTTCAGAGGAATTGCAGAATGCTTAGCTACATCTTCAAGACGCAGTTTACTGCTTGTACAAATGAGGCCTATTGTGATTTAATATCAACTGTATTTATTTTCTTTTTTTTCTTTTTTCTCAGTTCCTAGTCCACTTGAAATCAATGGCAGTAAAAAAAAGAAAAAACTCCTAGCACCCAATCTAAGTCTAACACTGGATCGCAGTGATGGCTCCATCTTATCTGAGGACTTAGATGAAAGTGGAGACTTGGATTTAGATGATCTAGATACTCCATCGGACAACAGCAATGAATTTGAATGGGAAGGTAAAAATTGTAATCCTCTCTTTGTATTGCAGCACCGAAGAATAATGGCTCCTGTATGTTCCATATAACAGTGTTGACACCATTTCTAACCTTTTATATCTGTGTCATCTTTGGTGGCAAGCTGCACCAAACAGGGATAACATTGAGCATAGGCAACCCAATTTTATACCAAATGTGCAGCCTATTGCCATAGTTGGTTTTAGATGATAACCTTAGTGTGTGAGGGACTTATTGCATGTAATCCGGGCCTGAACAAATGCCAGGAGCCAAGTAGCCAATGCTGCTTAAAAATATAATCTGCTGGCTCCTGGATAGGGCAGGCTGGCTCCTGAATTACAAACAAATTTTTGCTCCCCTGATATAGACATTTCTCAATATAGTGCCCTTTCACACTCTGTGTTTGGCTGTACTAGGCAGCCTGGCCATGACGTGGTACTTTTTCACTGCAGCTTGTTGAAATATACTACATGGCATTGCAACACTTTGGGGTGAATAGAACCGAATGAAATGTCGCTTTGTGATCAAAATACCTGAACAGTGCCTGCATCTAAATCAGATTGTTCAGTATTTTGAGAGCCAGCGAGGCCGACTAGCGAGATACTGAAGCTTGGCCCAGAGGGAGATTCCTCCATCCACACAGTTTAGCGTAGATGGAGGAATCTGTTGCACTTTGTCCATCCGGCCATAGAAAATCTGCAGATAATCTATAGGTGTATGTCCAGCTTAAGAATGGTGGTGAGGCATCTGCACATCTTCAGACTCCTAACCAGGCATCAGTATTTGATGCATACGGATTCCTAATTTGGCTGATTGGTCGATTCTGTATGTTTGCATGGTTACCATTTTACCTTCTTTTTGGGCATTACTCTAACGGACGTTTTCTGTTTTTTTTATATATAATGAATATGCATAAAATTACTAGTGATCAAACTGAGCTCTAGGCTCCTTTTACATATATTTGCAAGGCTTGTCTTAAAGTAAAACTATGGCCTCCCATTAAAAAATATGCTGTAGTACCTAATTGCAAGTGCATCTGATGTCTCATAGTCCCCATGCAAAGTGTCACAAATACCTGTTGATACTGTCAGTTAAGTCCACCTAATGCAGTTTCCTGTGATAGCATGGTATCAATGATGTACTGCTCTTAAATTCAGAGCAGAGTTGCCACTCGTGTTTGCTTTTTTCATGTTCATGCCACGTTCATGTTTGCTTTTTTCTCATGTCTGCTTGCCTTACCTTGGGTTACAAAAAACTGTTGCAGCAGCTATTTTAAATGATTTCTACATCAGTCAGCCATAACATTACGACCACCCACCTAATATTGAGTAGGTCTCCCTTTTTTGTTGCCAAAACAGCCCTGACCCATCGAGGCATGGGCTCCACTAGACCTCTAAGGGTATGTGGTGGTATCTGGTACCAAGCCGTCAGTAGCAGACCTTTTAAGTCCTGTAAGTTGTGAGGTGCGGCCTTCATGGATCAGACTTGTTTTTCCAGCACATCCCACAGATGCTCAGTTGGATTGAGATCTGGAGAATTTGGAGGCCAAGTCAACATCTAAAATTGGTTGTGTTCCCCAAATCATTCTTGAACAATGTTTGCAGTGTGGCAGGGTGCTATATCCTGCTGAAAGAGGCTACTGCCATCAGGGAATACAGTTGCCATGAGGGGGTCTACTTGGTCAGCAACAATGTTTTAGGTAGGTGGTAAATGTCAAAGTAACATGCACATGAATGGCAGAACCCAAGGTTTCCCTAGCAGAACATTGCCCAAAGCAGCACACTGCCTCCGCTGGCTTGCCTTCTCCTAGTGCATCCAGGTGCCATCTCTTCTACACCTTCTTCCTTTGCTTCATGGTCCAGTTCTGATGCTCGCATTCCCATTATGGAAACTTTTGGTGGTGGACACGGTCTGCGGATACAGTCTCATACACAACAAACTGCAATGATCTGTGTGTTCAGACACCTTTCTATCGGAACCTGCATTAACTTTTCCATCAAATTGAACTACAGTAGCTCTTCTAATAGATCAGACTACACAGGCCAGCCTTCGCACCCTACATGCATCAGTGATCCTTGGCCACCCATGACCCTGTCGCTGGTTCATCGATTTTCATTCCTTGGACTCCTTTTTGGAAGCTCCTGACCACTGCGGACCGGAAACATCCCACGAGAGCTGCAGGCTGGGAATTGTCTAGCTATCACTGTTTGGTCCTTCTCAAAGTCACTAAAATCCTTACACTTGCCCACTTTGTCCATTTTTGCCCAAATGTTCACGGGCTGTTTACCAGAGAGCAATATATAGAGTATTTTAATAATTGTATTTGGGAGACATTAGGAAATCCCTAAACCCTTCTTTTTTTTTTTTTTGTAAAAATGTAGTTACCACAAAATCCAAATTAAAAACACCTTTTTATTTTTCCATAATCCTGTTTTTGTTTTTTTTCCCATTCTTAGAAAACACAAGTCCCCCTCCCCCCCATTCCTTATTCTCTCAGGTTTGCTGCTTGAGCCCCTTCCTGGGTTTGTCTGCTTTCTTTGACTGAGGAAACCAAATTTGTACTTCTGGTAAAAAAAAAGTTTTTTACTGCATGATGTACAGTTCTCCACAGCTAAACCAGACCAGATTCCATGAACAGGTTTCCACAACCACTGGACACCAGTTACTGGTTAAACAGGTTTGCTGTGATTTTTACTGAAAGTAAAACACATTAAAATAGCATTTCTTTATGTTGCCTTGATGTAAGTGATGAAGACAAAGTAATCAATGTTTATTTCCTAAACTATGAGAGATCAAGTTATAACAAAGCGCATATCATTTGTTGCTAGATGTGGCTTTGGTTTTGTGTTTGTAGTTCCCACAGGGTGCTGCTGTCAGTGCTTCTTTCAGGGGTTTAACAGCAGTTTAGAAAACCTTCTCCGACTACTGTTACTTTCCATTAGACAAAGAGGTACCGGAAGTGTCTGTGTCTGCCTCCCTCCTGCCACTCCATATAGATATGTTGATGCAAGAGAGTGGAAAGATCATGCATTTATGGGCACCACCAGAGTTCAGACAGACTTTGTGGTTCTTGCCAGTGCCAGACATGGAGATGCATCAGGCAGAAGTCAAGGAGCTCAGGGAAGTGTGTGCATGGGACCCAAGGTGCTCCGCGGGCATGAAGAAACACTAGAGGGATTATCAAGTACTTTTAGACACCACAAAGTGCCTCTTTTCAATTTTATTGTGCCCCTAATGGTATCTAATCGTGTTCCCCTATTTTCAGAATCATGGGTTACAAAGTGCACTTATCTATTAGGCCACTTTAAGGTGACCTCTCTGCTCACTCTCCATGCACAGATGGATACTTACTGATATTTAATGGGCCCGGCCTCAGCTGAGCGTTTAAATCCTGTGATGGACATAATCTTCTCCTGGCTGTGCATGCACAGTACATCCCCATTGACTTCTGTGGGGCCCATTGACTTCTACAGAGGAGCATGATTAGCTACTAATATGGGCATGATCAAAATAAAAAGGTATTACATTGATATATGTAGTAAGGATAGTAACTTTGTAAACAGTCTTTCATTACTGTGTCATGAATAAATTCTAGATTCACTTATAATAAGCCGGTTTTATAAAGGGTTCACTTAATTTCAGATCTAGAAAGAATTGTATTGACGCAGCAAGAAGAAAATGGCTAGAATAAAAAGCTAACCCCATGGGAACTGCAAAGTGATTGAGTTTAACTTGAAATGGTTACCTTTTCCAAAGATTAGATAAGAGTCGAATACCTATATTGTACTTACTACAGTCATACTTGGCTCTTTTAAGATGGGGAAAAATCCCCACTAATACTTGGTCATCTGTCACTAAGGCATATATAACTAACAAATAATTGCCTGTAAAATATTGTATATGCTGCTTTTATGCTCACAAGCTGATTGCTGCCACTGGGAATTATGTGCGTCACCTAATACACTAGAATTGATCAAATTGGTTAATGATACTTTAGCCTGCTATAAACAAACATATGAGAGCCATGGTTCCAAGAGTAAATGTGAAAAAATAGGGCAACAGCAGATTATCCAAACAGACCGACTGATTAAATGGTTTGAGAACAAGTATTTGTCCGCTTAGTAAAGCATTTCCGACTGAATTTCCTTTACCTATTATAAAATAATTGAATGACTTTTACATTTTACACACTTTAAACCCAGTGAGGGAAAAACTAGACAAAAGTAGTATTTCTTTAGACCACAATTCTGGCCAAGTCGACCTGTTTGCCAAATCAATGTGTTTTTTATTCTGACAGTTTGTAAACAGCTGTTACACTTAAAACTATTTTACAGTTTTATCAATGTTTCATTTAAGCATCAGGTAATAAAAGTTGAAGAGTTTTTTCAGCATATTTGAACAAACATGCATTCCATTTATATACAAGCAGTGCCTACAGATAAAGGCATTACAGTGTATGTACAGTAATACCTTGGTACACGAACATTTCGGTTTGCGGACAGGAAGTTCAGCTAAATTTTGCTTCTGTTCGCGAACTCCAAATCGGGTGACTAACACGACCGTGGCCATCTTCCCCGCTTAAACACCTGGTCGTGGCTTCCTCTAGGCGAGATTGCCGTCGCAGACAGACCTGTTGCTGTGAAGATTTTGTGTGTGTTTTTTAGCACATACAGTACTGTACAGTATTATTCAATCAAGCATGGCTCCAAAGAAAGTACGTAAGATAGTAAGCATGGTGATACAAAGAAAGTGCAGAGTGGTAATGAATTTACATATGGTTCAGAATGGATTAACCTCATTTACATTGAACCCTATGGGAAAATTTTATTCTGTTTGCGACCAAAATCGGTCCGTGACCATGTTCGTAGGGGTTAGAAGAGATTAACCTTATTTACATTGAACCATATGGGGAAATTGTATTCGGTTCGTGACCAGAATCGTGGAACGAATTAAGTTCATGAACCGAGGTACCACTGTATATGTAAAATCAATAGTTATGATGTACTGGGTAAAAAGTTAGTACATACTTGGCTTTTATTGCCCTCAAAAATGACTTCCAGTAGACATTTTGTTTTTTAACTGCCCATCAATTGAAATTTTGACCACATTTCAAAACAAAATCCCTTTAGTTGCAAGATGTTTGTGGGTTTCCTTGCGTGAACTGCCCATTTTAAAACCCTCCTACAAAATTTTAATAGGATTAAAATCAGAGCTTTGACTAGGGTAATACCTAACTATATTTTCATTTGATCCATTCTCTAGTGGATTTCATTGGATTCATTAAATCGTTATTGTGTTGAAAGATTCATGTCAGTTGAACTTCAACTTTTAGACGACCTCACATGCTCATCCAGTACACTTTGATATAATGCAATTGTATAGCCGACTTGAATGCAAGCTGCCCAGACCCTGAATTTGCTGGATTGGATAAATTAGCAGTTGCTTGAAATCTACATTACTTGTAGATTTTTTTTTTCCCCCTAAATATGCCCATACACCGGCCGAAATTCTCAGTATAGGGGCTGTAGGCTCCCTTTTAGCCAGCATTCCTCAATCAACTGATGGAAGGAGCCGGCTGGAAAATCTCTGTGCTATCAAAGCCAGCCGCCAATGAGCTGCCCGCTCTGATCGGGTATTCTGGCAGGTGCCAGCGGCTCCTGTCGGAATACACTGCAAACAGCGGCAATTCCTCGGATCGACACGTTGCTTGTGTTGATGGAGGAATCGCGTCAATTTCTTCTTTCAACCTGCGGGTTGAACGAAAGTAATTGACAGGTGTGTGGCAGCTTTACATTGGAATGATTGATTTGAAATAATCAATCAAATGATCTTTTTAAATGCCTTTCCAGACTCTTGGCATCCACAGCTTTCTTTCGGAGGGCCCTGAAAGCTCTACTAATCTTGGCGTAATGACACCGTATCACATGACACATGTCATTGGCAAAGAACACCAGACCTTTGATATCTGAGATTTAAATAAAACTGGTTCCACCTGCATAATCCTTAGGAGGGTTCTAATCATTGGCGCCTGATCTAAAACACCTCATTCTAATGTCCTAGATTTGAAGTTTTTGCATTTTCATTAATATAGCTTGTACAATTCAATACACAATGCCCATTTTATGTGTAATTTGTTATCAAATTACACATAATGCTTACAGATAAATTTGTATCTGTAAGCATTTGAATTAAGATCTAATGTTTGCCTGATCAGATATTTTTTTTCAAAGTGAATAATTTATATAGGGTGCACTTACTTTTTCACATAACGGTATATGAAATATGCTGTTCCCAGAAGTCTGTACAAAGAGAAAGTGGTTAACTGAGTAGGATAATGGTCCCTTTTTATTGATTGTAGCTTCATTATAATTTTGGCAGATGACCTCCCAAAACCAAAAACTACTGAAGTACTTCCAAAAGGATCGATTCCGGAGTACACTGCTGCAGAGGAGAAGGAAGAGAGCAGACGCTGGCGTATGTTCAGGATTGGAGAACAGGATCACAGGGTGGACATGTCTGCTATAGAACCTTACAAAAAAGTTATCAGCCATGGAGGTAAGGAAGATTCTTTGGCCTTGAGACTGAAAATGGTTTAGCTTTTTAGGACTTGTGCACCGACATTGAAAATAGGCTTAATGGGATGTTAGGTATACATTTTAAAAGGATGGCTGAATTGCAGAAAAAGTAGCTTTGACCAAAAAGGTTATTAAAGTATTAATACTCATCTTCCTGTGATCCCTGGGACACAGCAGTAACATAGTAGCTACATCCAGAAGCAAATATCGAAGAGACAGACATTGGGACAGGCAAATATTAATACTATTATTGTGTATTTTTTTTTTTGGTGGCAGGGTCGCTTTTAATAAAACATGAACCTGTGCACTTCTACTGATTTATACTAATTCTATTGTACATTTTGAAACTAGAAGGTTTAGGGCGCTTCTTTGTACGGTGTTTGTTTATGCTCAAGATACCTTCCATCTTGTTTTACCTACCCACTGCATAATGTGGGGAAACCAATTTGAAAGAGACAGCATTTAACATTTCTTTATCTCCGCTACTTTTAGTTGTGAGAAGGTGAGCCTCCTTTTATGGCTGGTAATCTGACAACCGGGATTACATTTATAGTTAGTTGAAGGTGCATGGGCCAAAAGGGCAAAGATTGTAAGCACAAGCCTGGCTCCATTAGCACAGAGATTGTGATCAGAATTGGGTGCTCAAACTAAAAATGTAGGTCAACCCGTAAATATTCTAAAACCTTGCATAACAAATGGAGATTTGTATCCATAGTTTAAAGCCGTGTTTCTCAACCTGTGTAACCTCAGAACCCACATTTGTCCTTGGTCATTAAGTCGTGATCCAAGTTGCGTTGCACCACACACACACCACAATTTTTTTTTAGATCCACCCAGTCTCCCTACATTATGAGAACTGGAGTGGATCCTCAGCCTGGGGTCCAGTGTAGCCTGCTGTGCTGTGATAGAGCTCCATCCATATGTGCATTGTTTGTACAGCTCTCTTGCGCGCCCTGTAGAGGTGCCCGGGAGCCATAATGTGACGTCAGTCCAGGCACCTCTATAGGGCACATGTGGGAGCTGTAAGGAATGCACGTATGGATGGAGCTCCCTTGTGGCCAGACTTGCAGCCCATCCCCCCTCAAGCCAACATGGAGGGCTGGGCAGAGAGAGTTTTCAGTCAGTACAGAAATTACTTGTGGATCTTGCCAGAAATGCAGTGTCCTTGTCAATTCCTATGTAGAAGCACAAACAATATTTTCCTTCCCTCTACCCCATGTAATAGAGATAGCAAAAGGATGACATATGGATTCTAGCCTGGGTTGACATCCACAGCTCCCTCCATAGATACAGTGGCGTGAGTGTAGGCACCCTAAGACAGGAAGGGTTTAATTTGCAGGGGTACTAAGTGAAAGTAAAGGAAAAACTAGCTTGAAAAAAGAAACTTAATGCAACAACCTCATCTAAGGTCTGGTAAGCTGCAGGATATTCAATTTTTGGTTTAGTTGCACTCCAGTTTGCAGCACATTTATATTTTCTACTGCTTACTTGTTGTGCAGCATCCTTATTTTAACATTTTATCTAAGTTTTTCTACCTTTTTAAAAATGCAGAAATTAAAAGCCACATTGCAATCCCCTTTTTTTTATATCTTGCTCAGCACTTGCCAGTGAAAGAAGTCAGGGGTTGCCAGTATATCACTGTGGTAATGCCCACTCAACAGTGATTGACGTTAAGGACCCATTAAGCCTATCTAAACTAGTACACAGAGCTTTGCCTAAATGTTAACAGTGGAAAACCAGAAGTAAACCAGATGTTTATTGCATGTGTTTTGTAGTCAGATCACACTGCAGAGACTCTAGTCTGAGCTCCACTTCCAGACTCCATACTGCTCCTGTATAAGTGGCTAATACGGTACACATTCTCACCTAAAGCAAGAAACAACACTGCATTCACACTGCAACACAACAATATACAGTGCACTGCAGTTCCTGAGTCATAGGATTCAGTGCGCATAGTGGGCAGACTCTGCAGTAAATCTTATCATGATGAAACTGGCTCTGTGGAAGTGTGTACGCATTGGACATGGCAACAGTGATTTGAAATGCTTGTATAGAACTGACTTAAAACATCTACCATGGAGCTGAAAATGTGTATACTTCAAGGTTGGCCTTTTGTAATAACTTTGGGATTTAAAATGGCGAATACCTCAAGAGTGGACAGATGTATTTTGCAAGTGCCAACAGATTCCTATTTGCTTTAAGTGTGGTTTGTAAAGCATTTGTTGTAATGCTTTTTGCCTGAAGACTGCCAGATCTATATGTTCATCCATCTAGTCTAAACAGGCCATTGTGCAAGGGGGTGCTAACCTAATTGGATAAGATGTGTCAATTGATCTTTACCAGCCTGCACATGCTAGGAAGAAGTATTTTATGTTTAGATAACTATACTTTTAATGGTGTGGGTTTTCGTCCCAGTGAATTTTCAATAGCCCTGAGGTAAATTTGTTTTCTTTTGACCATTTAAATATGCTGCATTATTTACATTCCATTAAAGGTCAACATAGCGTAGGCTGACCACCATTCATTAAGACAATTGCAAATGGTTGCTAATTCACACTGAGGTTTTTTTTTTCTCAACACGTTAATGAAAACAGGGAATTAACCCCTTCATGACTGAGCTAGTTTTTAATTTCTGTTCCTAAATGACTGACACACTTTTTACATTTTTGCTGTGTGATTCTTCCAGCCAGTTTTTATTATTTTTAGAATTTTCTTAATAATAATTATAGTATACAAATTTATTTATAAAAGTTTTATTTTCCTAATTTTTTGTACACTTTTTTTTTTTTTTGTCAGTTTATATCAAGCAATCACTATGACTGCTTAATAAATTAACTTTTTTACATTTTTAGTTATTATCAGGCTGCTCCAAGCTTAGGAACAGCTAATAATAACTTTAGAGACTGATCCTGACAGCATGTCAGAATCAGATCTCACTAAAGGTCTTTGATCGTTCCTAGACGATCAAAACTGATACATTTCACTCAAGATATACATTTGTATCTAGTGGTTAAATTGTATCATTTAGCATCGTCACTGCTACCTCTGCTATTTTCAGCTGTCAGATACGGGATCGCTATTTAGCGAACCCGTATCTGAATGTAAAGGCTTCATTCTTTCATTAATGAAAGAAAGAAGCTTTTAAAAAAGCTTAACTATTTCATTAATGAATGTCTCAATAGTGAGGCATTAATTAATGACTCGAACTGCTGAGAATCAGCAGTTACCAGCATTACAGAGGCTAATATAACTCGGCGCGTACAGTGTACGTGGCCAGTCATATAGCCACTTTCTGACGGGACGTACACTGTACGTCTCCCGTCACCAAGGGCTTAAAGCTAACATTGTATTGTACAGTATATGCACAGTATTTAAAATAAACTGTAGACCTTAAAAATATTATAATCTATTTCCGGCATGTGATTTTTCTGAATCATATTGTATATTATAGTAGGCTAAAGTTCTGGGTATGTAAACAAGGCTGCTTCGATGCGAGTTGAGATTTTGTCTAAAGTTTTACCAACACACAAGGCATTTTGATAATTTAATTTTCTAATGATGAGACCCTGGTATGGACCTTTTATTCATTTCAGGGTGAACTCTCACTGAGTGGTATGGAAAACACTGAATACATTCTGCTTACTAAGTGAAGAGCTGTAAGAATTGCCATAGAATTATCTAACCTGTCCAATTAACATTTTTCACTTGTGGGAATAGTTTCTTCTGGCTTAATCTGTTATTTCCTGATCTGTTAAAGCCCAGCTCCAAAATGCAGAACAAGCTATATGTCATCCATTCCCACTCTGAACTCCCCTCTTCCTGCTGTCTTTTTATTTTTTATTTTTTTGCCCTTTCACTTACCTTTTAAACTACTCCCAAGTCTCTGTCATGTGACTACCACAGCTCTTTTACACTACCTGCCAGTGTGGGCCTGTGGTCAGAGAAGAACGCCAAGCTTCCACAGTAACACTGTGATGCCACCACTGTACAACTCCAAACACACCATCCATCATGGCTGTGTCTTCTATATAGGCAAGAGGATAAAGGAGGCAGGGTCATGACTGCCTCTGCACATAGAAAGGTGTTGGATGATGCTGGGCATCCTTCAATCTGAAAGTGGAGCAGTGGATAGCAATTCACCAAAAAACAAACTGCAAGATGCAGCAAAAGAGGAGGGGGTGAGTTGGGCTGTGAATTTACTTGGCTGAAGGACTGGAAAACAGAGAAACCTAATTACGCTGGAGTTGGATTTTAAAGTAAATTCAAACCATACTCCATTTAAGGAAATAGGTCTATATGACTGTCAGGAGGAGGCTTAAGAATCGTTAGTCAGAGTCCACATCATGCAGGATAGAAGATTTTCCTTTTTCATTATATTGGTATACAGTACAGGGCAAGCTGTCGTATCAGGTGATCTTTCTATAGTGCCTACCATTCTACGGGTTACCCATCTAATCCTGAGGTTTTATGTTTAGAGAAAAAGGAAAAAGACTACTGAATTTCTTCTTCGGCAATGGAGTAAGATTTCTCTGGAAGATTGCCCATTTCAATAAAATTAAGGTAGTCTACAGGTCTGCTGGTTCAAACTGAGCTTGGGTTTTGTAGAGTGTTCCATATTAGGGCTGCAGCCAACTAATCGATAATGAGAATAGTTGTCAACTATTCTCATTATCGATTAGTTGGTTGGATCCCTTAGCTCTCGCCTCCACGCTAGGAGGAGGGCACAGCAAGCAGTGGGCGGGTGCAATAGCCAGCCTGCTATTGGATATTGCAATTTGAAATGGCCAATAGCAGGCCAATATTGCACCAGCTCACTACCTGCTGTATATACATTCAGCTGCCACTGCAGAATCTTGCCACTGACGAGCTCCATGTGCTTACAATACAATTAACAAAAATCATAAAAGGTGGGGAAAAAGTTATTTTCGGGTTTGGCCTGACAAATTCTGCTGTGGGAGGTGCGTTGCAGTGCCATTCATTTCAATAGCACCCCAAACACACCTCCCACCCACAGTGTGATCGCCCAGACTAGAATGAGTGGTACAGCGATGCCGTGCGTTCCAGTGCAGTGCGATTTGCAAAAAATTGTGCATGCAGTTTTATTCTGAAGTAAACTTTGTAACATTGCATTTGTGTATTTTATTTTTATTTTTCTCGAATCAAATTAATCGGCCAAGTAATCCATTATGAAAATGATCATTAGTTGCAGCCCTATACCAAATAAGTGATTTAAAGGCCATTAGTGGTTTGTAGATTGAGATTGGCATCATAGATACCAGGTATAGAAAAGATAAGGTTTTCTGGTTTGGTTAAAAAGGCAAGGAGGCATTTTGTTTCACTGGATTCACATATATATATTGTTTTTGGTTGAGGAGCTTTTTTTTCCAATTTCCTTCACCTGGGCCAAACGGTATGTTCTTTGGCTGGACTGCCACATGCTGGACTGGGTGTATGTCCTTTCAGCTTCCTGTTTTGCCTGTCCTGACCTGTGTATTTTTGCACCATTATCCTCTTAACACTGCCACTGCAGATATGAAGGAGCCCGGTAATGTAGGTGTAAAGGCTTCTCAGTGGACACCTTCAGAAGTATATTCCCCATTCTTTTTTCAAAAATCATTTTATTTCATCTGCACCTTGATAATTTTACCATAGAGGGAAACAAAATATTTAGTGCAGGTCTGTATTACTTTAAAGTAATTAGTTCAATTCTTCATAAAACGAGTATAAGTACCCTAATCTGTCTTGATATCAGCATTCAGACCTAGAGGGACAGCAGTAGGTGTTGACTCTTGAGTACACATGTGATAACAGGAGATGAGAGCAGATAGAGTAGTGCTGACAACTTTCAGACAAAATAACAAGTAATTTAGCAGATAGGACAACTCTTATGTGTCTATTACGTTTTGTTGGAAATTTAGTTTTAAAAATTTTAGACGGATTTTACAGGTGCCAAGGTATTTTTATTAAATGACAAGTATTAGGGTGTAAATAAAATGTTGTGTGACTCATAGAAAAATGTCAAAATAACATGCTTATTATTTGTGTTTCTTTTTAGGTTATTATGGAGATGGCCTTAATGCCATTATTGTGTTTGCTGTGTGTTTTATGCCTGACAGCAGTCAACCTGACTATCGATACCTGATGGACAATCTTTTTAAGTAAGCATCCATGTATTTCACACTTTACTAAAAGTTGACCTTGCACCCAAATGCAAGGTCTGCCTATTCAATACTGCAATGGAGACACGAGCGCAATAACCTTGCTGATACATATAGTAAAGACTGCCTGTCTCTATGTCTATGTTTCTTGTTCTATTCAGTACTGGCCACTCCGCTATGTGTTAGCAACCTATTAAATCTGCAGAATAAAGAAACAGTGGAGAAAAGTTAGAACATACACTACTTACTTTCACCTGGCTTCTGCAATAAAGAAGGTTCAGATCCTTTTGGAAAAGAAGGGGAATTCAGGGAGCGCTTTTTATCGCAAATCTTAGGGAGATACGCTCCAGCACAAAGGAGTAACTTCTCCCAAGGATCTGAACTCCAATGCATAAGCTAGGATTAAAGCAAGTAAGGCTGGGTTCACATCTGGGCGTTTGCTATATGTGCGTTTTTGCCCTTGCGTTTGTAGATTGTTCTTCTGTCCAATGAAAAGCGTTCAACGTGCGTTTTTTAACCTCCCTGGCGGTATGATTATTTTATTTTTTTGCTCTATCTGTTTTTTCCATTTAAATTATATATTTTTTTAAAACTTCCCGCCGGTTCCGCCCCCTTGCGACACGGACACTCGCAAGGGACGCAACACGGAAGACTGATGCCGGCAGCAGCCGAAGGACACAGCGGGGATCGCGGACAAGGTAAGAGACGCTAGGCTGTATTCCCGAGTGTGGCTTGGGGTTACATGGTATAGAAAATTAACCCCGAGCCACACTCGGGAATACCGACAGGGAGGTAAATCAATGGATACGCGCTGAAATCTGCCCCATCGCGCGAAAAAGAAGCTCAAGTACTTTTTCGTGCGTAGGGTGTTTTTCAGCCAGACAAAACGGGCTGAAATACGCCTAGGTGGGAACTATGCCCATAGCTATTAAAAGGATTTCACGTCCAGACAAAACAGGCTGAAATACGCCCAGTTGTGAACCCAGCCTGAAGCTGGCCATACACATTACAATTATCTGCAGATTCTCTATGGTCAGATGGAAAAAGTGCAACAGATTCCTCCATCTACACTGAACTGTGTGGATGGAGTAATCTTCACCTGGGCCAATCTGTTGCACTTTTTCCATCTGACCACAGAAAATCTGCAGATAATTGTAAGGTGTATGGGAACCTTAAGGCTTTTTCCATAGTGTGTGTTTTGTTTTCTAAATAACTGCTATAATGTGCTGGTTTTAATTGGAGTGGGTGTTGTATGTAATAAGAGGACCTTGCATTTTTGTAAAAGGTCTGCTTTGGGCATACTTAAACTTGTATCCTAGACAGATATGAAAAACAGTTCAATGCAGTTGTATTTTACTTCAAAAATGATGTGAATTGTTATATGCAACTAACATAAGTATCGGAATCTGAGTAAATTTGCCTGAACTGCAGCTTTTAAAAGAGCTTTTTACTTGAAACAAAAAGTGAAACCCTGATAACACCTTTTGCCTTGTATGCTCTTCTCACAAAGAAAACCCTTTGCTCTCCTGGGGCACAGGAGCAACAAAGAAAATGTTTAGAGAAACTTCTTTAAGGGCCTGTGTCAACAGGCTTGTGTCGGTGACCACTGTTTGAGACGCTTCTGAGCTCCTTCAGAACTCATTGACAGTTGTCGTTGACCTGCTTCAAGCAGGTTTTGCTTTTCCATAGACTTCTATAGAAATGTTAAACTCATCTGACACAAACAAAAAGCCCATCAACACAGGCCCTAAATGTAACTGAATTGGTCCCATTATATTTTTCAATTTTAAAGTTTCTGATTGGAAAGGTATTTTGTCCTTCATTTTAAGAATTTCTCAGCAAGCATGTCTAATGTATTCTGTTTCCTAAGAAACAAGGAAAAACTGTGTTGGGTACTTTTAGAGCTAGTATAATCTACGGGGTATTGCCATGCTTGTTAATGGCAACTTGACAAAATGTAACAGTGTACAAGAACTGCTAGGCCAGGGGTGCCCATAAGGTCAATCGTGATCTACCAGTCGATCGTAGCGATCACTGGTAGATCGCGATGTCCTCTCCTCCCGTGGGTCTTCTCCTCTGGATCCCCATCTGTATGCAGCGGGGATCCGAGGAGAAGGACAAACACACTGGAGTGATCAGCTGATGTGTCCCCAGTTATGAATGAACAGGATGTGATTTACATCACGTCCTGTTCATTCATGAGTTTCCCAATGGGGAGAAGCACTCACTACAGAGGCTCCTCCCCAGTCAGAAACTGGATGATAGTAAAATATTTTCTGAATGAATGGGAAGCCTCTGTGCTTTCCATTCATTTAGAATAGAGGCTGCAGAAAAAAAGATTGAGGACTTTGTGTCCTCAATTTCTTTTTCTATTTTAAAAGGAAATATCAGGAGGCTGTTTAGACCCTAATATTTCCCCGAAGCCCCCAACAGCCCCCCCAAAAAAATTGTAATAAAAAATGTAAATAAGAAATAATAAAAATAAAAAATTAGTAAAAAATAAAAATAATCCGAGGTTGGGTGGGGGGCACTTTTTTTTTTTCTTTTTTTTTCTTTCTTGCCTCTGGCACAAAAGGAGCTGGCTACGGCTATGCTCCAATGGTGCTCGTGCGGCTGGCGGCTGAATGTGTCAGACGCAGCAGATGGAAAAGGGGCAGGACACCTGCCATGTGCAACGTCAGCCACACGAGTACCGCGGGAGGACAGGGGGTCCCTAGGGGACATTAGGGGTCTTGGAGACCTCTGATGTCCATCTATAAAGAGGACCTCTCTGTTATCACATAGGGTAGTCCCCTGTGGGATATTTACAAAGTTAAGTGTAAAAAAAATATTAGTCACACATAGAAAAAATAAAAAAAGTCCCCCGATTTCGTAGGCGCGCAACATTTGAAGGCTTGACGTGTTTGGTGTCTATTTACCTGATGTGACACCATCTTTTATATGTTAACCAACAATTGGATTATAAATGTTTCATAACATAATAAAGGGAAAACAGTTTTTTGGGGTTTCAAAAAAAAAAAATTTGGTACTCTTTTCATTGTATAGTAAAAAAAGAAAAATTAAATACCAGTAAAAGAAAGCTCTATGCGTCCCCAAAAAATATTATAACATTCATTTCAGTACAGTGTTGCATGGTGTAATGAATGTCAGTCAGCGCTAAATACTGGAAAATGGTCTGGCCAAGAAGGGGGTTTAAGACCCTGGTCTTCAAGTAGTTAAATAAATGTATATAATACAAGTGACCTCTGTTTGTCGTGAGATATATTGAAAGTTAATTGGATGGCACCTGAGACCCATTGCCACTGCTAGCGAATCACTGGGTTATTATATATTGCATGATGCAGTTTTTCCCCAAGTATAACATTAAACCTTGTTTTCAGTGGGGTTTTTTTTCTTTTAATTAACCGCTTGCCATCCGCCCGTTGTTAAAAAACGGAACGGATGGCAGACTCACACGGACGGGTTGCCGTCATTAGACGGCAATTTATTCCTGCTCGTGTGCGCCCGGGCAGAGAAAACGCGCCTGTTCTTCACAGCTGTTACCGGCTGTTTCACATACAACCGATTAGCGGCTCTATAGCGCCGATCTGTTGTATGTTGCGATTTGCCCATCCCCCACCCTCGATCAGCTGCCGCCTGGAGTGGCCCCCCTCCTGACCCCTCACCTTAAATCCCGGGATCCGCTAGCCCATGTGCGGCCCGGGACCGGCTCGGTAGGGCATCAGGAGGTAAGATGTGAGGGAGATGAGCATCTTCCTCCTTGCTGATCTCCCTCCGTGCTGTGAATGCAGAAGTGATGTGTAATACATCACTTCCGCATTCACCTGTGAGTCATCTGGCTGATATAGCCAGAGAAAAGAAGCTGATTAAGCAGATCTGTGCCTCATCAGCTTTTTTTGCGGTCCCAGGGTGTCAGGGGTCCTAGAGACTCCATAACGATGACTTGTCAGTGTGCCTTTGCTATTATATAGGGGGATTGTTATACTCTTATGTGATAGCAATAACAATAAATGTAAAAAAAAAAAGAAATGTATATAAATAAAAGTTTAAAAAAAAAAACCCCAAAATGTTTGTCCCCCTTCCCCACGTTTAAGCACCTATAAACGTAAATATGCGTCAGTGCGAAAACGACAATTGCGCTACACGTTGCATATCGTCGTGAGCGTCGGAGTGAGAGCAATAATCTTAGGGCCATTAATCACTGATAACACTAAACTGATGAGCGGTAAAAGCATTTAAAGCGTCGCCTATTGCCAATTTTGGGCAATGTAGTTGTTTTTTTTTTTAAAAGAGTTTCTCTAGCCTCCTGTGACAGCTGGCAGCTGTCTCCTCCCCGCTCTCCATCCTGACTCGCTATCCCAGGAGGCCGAGCAGGGCGGTGGGGAGGAGAGAGCAGCCTCCTGTGACACACTGACAGCACTCTCCTACCCGCCTTGCTTGGTCTCCTGACAGTTTCTCTCTTCCTCCCGTACGTTGCTCTGTCTCAGAGGGGACACAGAGCAGTGCCCAGCGGGGAGGAGAGAAACTAAGGATGCACTGCAATTTCGGCCAAGAAATTGTACTTTCGGCATTTTGCCCAAAGTGCCATTTTGGCCGATATGTTTCGGCTGCTGAAATTTTGGTACCTGATTAAAACCTTTACCTAGCCTAATGCACTTTTTGTTCTCCAGGTCATTGCAGCAGCTGCTACCTGTGTTTTTTATGCTTGTTTGTTTTTTGGTTGGGGTAGGGGGGAGCCAATGCACAGGTTGACATCAGGAATAGTCTGTAGGGAGAATAGACCAAACTTTTGAACCGAGTGCAGAGGTAACTGAAATGTTCTCCTCTGGTTTTTGCCCAACCCATACTAAGAAATAGGATAGGAAGTACTGAGAAAGCCATGTGTGGTCAGGTTTTACACTAATACTTGCTATGTGTTGAAACCTTTACAGGTATGTTATTGGCACTTTGGAAATGCTAGTTGCAGAGAACTACATGATAGTTTATTTAAATGGAGCCACAACACGGAGGAAGATGCCAAGTCTGGGTTGGCTTAGGAAATGTTATCACCAAATTGATAGAAGGTAAGTGTTGGGTTAATTCACGGGTCACTTTACTTTGTACTGCTTTATGAAAGCTTCAAATCCTTTTTCATGTGTGTTCTTGGTGTAAATTAACATCCTTATTCAAAAATCTGTACAAATGGCAAAGTACCAAGTTCATACCAAAATGCATGAGTTAATATGCATTACATGGCAATACATGAGTTAATATGCATTACATGGGAATGCATGAGTTAATATGCATTACATGGGAATGCATTGGCTTGGATTTGAAATGATTTTGCTTTGCATTTTCATGTTAGTGCACCAAAAATGCAGCTTGCAGGAATTTTCCCTTGCACCACAACACATTGGACTAAACAGGTCCTTTTTAAAAACATATTTTTTTTTATTGGCCACGCGTTCTGCTTCCCTTTTAAAATACAGCAAAATGTGTGACGGTGAAGTAAAACCAACTTCAATTTTCATATTTTATGGCCAAGAGCGGGGGGCATATGGGAAAGAGTTCCTCCACTGTACCAGCTGTGAAAACCATCCTGTGCAGCTCTAGTAGATTATCTTCTGAAAGTACATCTTACATCTGGCATGTTCTAAATCAGTGTAAGGTTTGTGAGAAAATGAGCGGTATCTCTGAATCTGTAGTACAAACATTGCACTGGTATCTCTAGAACAGTAGCTAAAGCACTGTGTATGTGTCCCCTGTCACTTGCTGGAGAACAATTCTTTCACCCTGTGACATCTTTGTATTGTGACTTCCGGCCCGTCCCCCCCCCCTATTGCTGTTCAGAGACCTACTTCCCATTGTCTGTTAACATTTTTAGGAATTATATGACAAAAGTGGAAAATTGTTATTGTTTCTGCTAGTTGTTGGTTTGTGATTTCTCACAGACCAGTCATTGAAGTGACACTAAACTCGGGAGTTAAATTTTAAAAGTGCATTTAAGTACTTTTTAACTATTATAAAGTATCTTATTTGAGTATAAATCAGCTGTAGATCCTCAAATTGTCTCTGAATTGGTGCTGACACTGTCCTTCCTTTTTGGAGGGTAGCTACTTTTGTTTCCCATGGTCCCTGTGTGTGTTGTAAAGTAGCCACCGCTCCAAGCTCACTCCCGTGATGGATTAAAATCTCACATTTAATCTACTCATTTATATTAAGATTGTAGTCCATCACTGGTCTTGCAGAGGTGAGGCAGGGTCTAAATCTGCTGGCAGTGATAAAAATGGGTCCCTGTAATCATTTTGTATCTAACACTTCCATTTGTAGTGGCTTTGAAAGCCTCTGCTAATTATACTACAGTAAAATGTAGAAACCACAACGTGACACTGTGATCCCAGTTCCTTTAGTATAGGCAGGGCGGTTGTTCTTTGAAGGATTGAAAGTGAATTTAAGACTGCACCGTCTGTACACATAGGGCAAGGAGAACTAGCATGTCCGTGAAGGGGCATTGCAGAATGACTTTGTAAACATAATTGTGTATTAAAAAAAAAGGGGGTGGGGGTAAGGGATTAAGCACTATGCCCAATGCAATGTTGGAAAGTGTATATGGAGCTGCATGACTCAAATTGGAGAAATATTTGGTTTGCTTTGTTGGACAATATGCAGCACCTGGCTGTGATTTACCACACAGTTCCATAGATATTGTTTCTTTAGAACCGTCAGTGGCACTTCTCACATTCTGGAGGTCATACTAGCTGGCTGGTCTTTTGCCTAAACCTAAACCTCCAGTCAGTGCTGCAAAAATGTTTTAGTTAAAGGAGAACTATTGGGTCAGTGCTTTTCCCCATAGTTCTCCTAAGGGTAACGGGAGGACACAAACTAGCGTCCTCCCATCACCCTAAGCTCAGTATAATACTGAGACGCCGACAATGCTGTCTGGATCCACCCAGCTGCGTGAGTGACAGCTGGCTCTGCCTATCTAGAGGCAGAGCCAGTTGTACCCGCCCCTCCCCCGTCCATTCCTCCAGTCACCGCTGAAGGATCGGACACTAATCCCTGCAGGGAGTGACAGTCACGGCTCTCTGCACGGATAGATCGAGAAGTGAGCCAGTGACAGTATGTGTCCGCTCACTTCCCGATCTACTGAGCCGACCTGTGACAGTTTCATTGTCACAGGTCGGCTCAGATTATGAGGCTGAGTGAAAATCACTTGCCTCATAATTTTCCTTTTAAGGGTGAATTGTGCTATTTGCATGAATGTCATGGTGTCTGGGTATTTATTATCTGAATATAGGATACACGGTAGAGCAATAAATCTGTTTTTCTTTGTGTTTTCAGGTTAAGGAAAAATCTGAAGTCTCTCATTATAGTTCATCCTTCCTGGTTCATCAGAACTCTCTTAGCTATTACCAGACCTTTCATTAGGTAATGAAGACTGATTTTCTGTCAATATGCTTTGTATTTATTTTATATTATGATTAACTGTTTTTTCTTTTTGTGTGTTGTTTTTTGTTTTTTTTTTAGCTCAAAATTCAGCCAGAAAATTAAGTATGTCTTTAGCCTGGCAGAGTTGGCAGAACTTATTCCTATGGAGTATGTCGGCATACCAGAATGCATAAAAGAGTATGTGACGTTCTTTGTTTTACAAATACCATTTATACAGTTTCCAACAGGCATGTCAAACCAATTTTTTTTTTCTGCTTATCCTTTTAGCCCTTAGAACTTTTAATTAATCCAGAAATGGCAACCAACTTGGCACATATATAACCTTTATCCCTGCTTTGATTTTCCCTTTGTGTTGATTCCCAGGTCAATATTTAAGCCACTGCCTTGTTTATATTCAGCTTGTTTGCACTGTACACTACGGTGACTGAAGTGTCTGTAGACAATGTCTGAGAATGAGTAGGGCATTATGGACCTAGATATTGACCCTGTTGTCCACGATTGGTTGTTTTCTATTGCTTGGTATAGTATAAAGGAGCTTAGCTAAATTTATGTAGGAGTTTTCTGCTTTCCAGTGGTACTACACTATAGAAATCATCATTTAAGGTGGTGGAATGCACTGGGTAAGTTCAGAAAGCGTAATTGCCCTTTAACACTGCAATCTGTATACAGTTTATTGTTGAAACATACCTGCTAAATGCTAAATACACATTTCACACCCATTTTTCCTATTTTGTTCCATTACCACCTGGAATTAAGAAAAAAATTTGGAGGGGGTTTGTATAATTTTGCTTTAGCTGTATGCTTAGGATCATTGTCCTGCTGGAAGTTGAACATGCTTTTCAGTCTCAAATCTCTGGCAGACAAACAGGTTTCTCTAATTTCCCAGTATTTAGCGCCATCCATCATTCCTTCAATTCTGACCAGTTTGCCAGTCCCTGCCAATGAAAAACATCTCCACAGTATGATGCTGCCACCAACATGCTTCAATGTGTGGATGGTGTTCTCAGGGTGATAAGAGGTCTTTTGGGTTTGCGCCAAACAACCTTGAAGGCCAGAAAGCTCAGTTTTAGTCTCATCTGACCAGAGTACCTTCTTCCATGTTTGGTGGAGTCTCCCACATGCCTTTCGATGAACAGCAAACATGTTTGCTTATTTTTTTCTGTAAGCAATGGCTTTTTTTCCATGAAGGCCAGCCCTGTGGAATGTATGGCTTAAAGTGGTCCTATGGACAGATACTCCAACCTCCTCTGTGGAGCTAGGCAGCTCCCTCAAGGTTCTCTTTGATCTTTGTTGCCTCTCTGATTGATACCCTCCTTGACCGGTCCATGAGTTTTGGCGGGCGTCCCTCTCTTGGCAGGTTTGTTGTGGTGCCATATTCTTTTCATTTTTTAATAATGGATTTAATGGTGCTCTGTCGGATGTTCAAAGTTTTGGATATTTTTTTTTATAACCCATCCCTGATCTGTACTTCTCCACAACTCTGCCCCTGACCTGTTTTTAGAGAGCTTCTTGGTCTTTATGGTGCCGTTTGCTTGGTGGTGCCCCTGGGTCAGTGGTGTTGCAGACTCTGGGGCCTTTTAGAAAAGGTGTATATATACTGAGATCATGTGACCTTTTAGATTGCACAGAGGTGGTCTTTATTTCACTAATATGACTTCTGAAGGTAATTGGTTGCACCAGATCTTATGTAGGGGCTTCATCGCAAGGGGGGTGAATACATATGCACGCACCACTTTTCCATTTTTTTTACCATTTTTTTTTTTTTAAACCAGTTATTTTCTTGATTTCACTTCACCATTTTGGACTATGTTGTGTATGCCCATTACATGTAATCAAAATAAAAATCTATTTTAATTTCAGGTGGTAATGCAACAAAATAGAAACAATGCCAAGGGGGTGAATACTTTTACAAGCCACTGTACATATCTGGGCGCTATTTTACCTGCCAAAAAATTTGTATTTCTGTCTATCCAGTTCTAAGAATAACACATTTCTGCCACATAGTACACCCCTGTTTGGCAGGAAAGGAAACCTGATTTTTTTTTTTGTCCCTCCCCTGACGAGGCCTGGGTTGTTAAGAGAAGACACCAATTCACTCAGTACAGCATTTCAGACCTGGCATTTGGGTGGCACTGCTGCTCTGTATAGAGCCAAAATTAACATACTGTTGTTAAGACCAGATTGAGATGCTGTATTTAGAAACAGGTAAACATAATGTTTGTGTGAATTGCACTATACTAGATATATTTTACAGCAGCGGGGACTGGCATGCTAGAACTAGCTATCATCACCTTGCTGGAGAAGCATGGATATTCCATGCTTTATAGTACAGAACCTCAGAATATATACAGGCAAATGCAACAAACAATGGGGCTTTCTGGTAAATCCGAGTTCTCTAGAGTTGTAGAAGCAGATTCCATGTTTCATTTTGCACTCAAGTATGAGAATAAAGGGTAATGCCTCATTGGTTGCTCTATTCAAAGTTCCTTTGCTGCTGGATTCCCAAAAGTAATATCAAATAAACTGGAAAAAGGGAATTAATTTCTTGCTCTTTATGGGGTAAATTTAGCTAATTAAAACTTATAGGACTATTTACAAAAGGGTGAAGAGTCTGGAGAAGGCAGGAGAAGGCAACAATCTAAGACAACATAGCTGATTTGGAAAAATTCTCCAATTCAGCTCACTTTCCAGATCAGCTATGTTGTCCTAGATTGTTCAATTCTCCTGCCTTCTCCAAACTCTTCACCCTTTAGTAAATAACCCTGTTAATATTGCCGTACATGTAGATATCTCTGTTCTGATTTGATGTTAATAAACACGTGTGAAGTATGATACTAGTGTAACTTTTCTATCCTAAACAGTGTCTTAATTTTCTGTTTACTGAATTCCAACTCTTTCCTACTAAAGGTATGACGAAGGAAAGTGTAGAAAGAAAAACAAAAGGTATCTGCACACCTTTAATGGGCTGCACCAAGACAAGTCATCTACTCTGCACTAACTAACCCCTTCCCTATTGGTTGGCTTATAGAATACCATTTCGCATTAGTAAATATAAACATGTACCATAGACATAGCCCTACATTTGGACCATTATTAAGCGTAGCTTTAAAAAATATTTCTCGGGTTTATAAATCACTCGTGCAACTGGAATGGCGTCTTTTAATGCACAGTTGACAGAATATTAATACAGATATATATTGAAGTCTGTTCTTCTTGGAGAACTCTTAGCATGTGTTTTGTCAGTTGTAACATTAATACTGCATGCTCTTCCTTTCGTGTTCTATCTTCTAGTGAGCAGAAGTAAAGTAAAAATTGCTTGTTTAGTGTATTGTTTGTATTTGCTGTGCACAAGGATTCAAGCTAACCAATACCTCACCTTGGAGAATGTTTCTGGTCCCAGTCTCTCACACTCTCATTAGCTTTTTATGCAGCCAATGGTCAGTGATATGACTTATATTCAACTTGCAGTTTTCTCTTGCCTATAATTAAAATGCCGTCTCCACAATCGCACAGCTTGCATGAGCTATATTTTGTTAACCTTAATTTGGCTTCAACAATGCACCACTTAATTGAAAGACCAAATCAATCCAGATATTCCATACTTTCCCAATTACACATTGCCGTTGCTTTTAAGACAATTACTTTTTTAAACCTTTTTTTTACAATCCATTTCAGTGCTATCCATTAGTTGTATTGCTTTATGGATTCATTTAATCCTTTTATTTTCAAGGCTGTACATTGACATTGCTGCATTTGTAGCGTGTGAAACCATTGGATGCAATTAAGTTTGTATACCTGTACTGGAATACTCTTACTTGTGTGTCTTTTAGCCTTCAGTATTTTATGAATGTTAATAAGCAGGACAGAATGTATTTAAGAGCAGCAGCACAGCACTATAACTGGAGTTAACAATTTACATGGCCTCGTGGCTGGTTTGGACATATTTCTCTCTTTACTCTGGCTTCGTTCAGCTTCTAGGTCTCATTCTAAATTGGCACAAAATAGTCATGTCAAAGAACTCCATTCAAGAGTTCTGACGTCTTTTAGGATCAAGAAAAGCTATTGCCTTTGCGGTCTGTCCCAGCTTTAATGTAAGCGTTATTATCCATAAAGTGACCCTGTGTTTAGTCTAATAAAGTAATTATAATAACAAAGTAATGCTGAAGTGGGCAAAGCGAGCACCACAAAATAGGACTCCAGTATGCTATAGGACCACCATTAGTTGTTTACATGAAATCTCACTTTCTAAGTCAGAGATTAGGCATGTCTCTACCACCTACATGTCTGTGCACAGGCCATTCAACTGATTGCATTGGCACTAAGCTTTGTATTATGTGACATCAAGTACAGGTGAGACTATGTAAATACCTGTAATAAAATAAGTATGCAACAGTTGGCATCTGCATACAAAACTGGGATTGTTCTTTGGGCATGCTGGTGCCTTGTTTGAGTCTACAGCTGTACCTGCTGTTAGGTGTTTGCTTGGCCCCAACAATAAGCTTAGTTTTGTTAAGTTTAGACTAAACATAGGTTTGCTTTAAAAAAAACAGCCCTGATTTAATTAGAAAGCATGATGCTGGTAAGTTTATTAACTGTTCAAATCATGCAATAGAAGCAGAAAACACCCTCACCGACCTTGCATGGGGAATATCTAATGTTTCACTCAGGAGCCTGATGCATTTTAAAAATTTTGTCTGTTTTGACCTATTCCTCTATCATGTGAAGTGACAGCACGGCTAAATCAGTACAGGGTAAGCTCCTTTTTCCTTTTGCTTTTCTTGTTCCAGCCTGGTTCCCTGTGTCATCTTGTAGAAATAGGGTGGCCACATGCAGTTCACATACCTTGGCTATCAGAAAAACAGATGTGCCATAAACATTTTTTTTCACTAAGCTATAACACAATTGCCCCTACCACTTTTATTTTCAGCAATGAGAGTTAACAATTGCAATCAAATGGCTAAAATAATGCGTTCCCTGGGCAAGTAAAACATTATAGCGTAGATAATTGAGCCTAAAGTCCTATTTCTAGAATGATATCTGAATTTAAGTTTAGGTGGGCTTTTGGATAAAATAGGTACCTCCATTGAGTTTTACTTTAAACATCTGTACAACAAAAAGTGCATAGATTTGATCAACTTTTTGTAAAAATTGGGTCTTTGGGTATCTAATAATCACCATATGCTCATCACTGTGGAAGAATTAGATGGGTACATAACAAATGGATCAATGTTTAATATAAGGGCTACGAGTAGAGCAGGATTTAGACAGATATCATGGTTTTTTCTTCATTGCGGTTACTGTTTTCACAGTGAATCCCATTGCTTTTTTTACCTACATGGTAAACGGAAAAAACACTTTATATGAGTTAATGAATCTAAGTAGGGATGCACCGATACCACTTTTTTAAGACCGAGTACGAGTACCGATACTTTTGCTCCAAGTACTCGCAGATACCAATTACCAATACTTTTTCTTAAAGGGACACGTCACATTTTTTCTAAAGCAATACAAACTAATGCTTTAAGGTCACTTTCTTAATATTATGATTCATGAGATGACGAGGGAGCATGACGCCGGCTTCCCGGCCAATCAGAATGCCGGGCGATACGTCATTACACGGCACCCTGCTTCTGGATTTGCTAGCTTCCTGACCAATCGGGAAGCCGGGCACCGCGTCATTGCATGCTACCCGGCTTCCTGATTGGCCGGGAGAGCATGGAGCCGTTTCCTGGCCAATCAGGAAACCGGGCAGCGTGTAATGATGCGCTGCCCGGCTTCCTGATACAGGAAGTACTCGTGCTAGGTATTGGAGCATTTGGGCAAGTACGAGTACTCACCCAAATACTCGGTATCGGCACCAATACCAATACTAGTATCGGTATCGGTGCATCCCTAAATCTAAGTTACATATTAGTACTTGACAACAAACCTTTTTTTCTGATTTTATAGGATATTATTGTGTGTTTTAGCTGTTACAATGAATGATCACATACACAGCATTTTAGTGAGTGTCCATTTGGAATACATTGAAAATAATTTCTGAGGCGGAGGTGAAGCACTTCTATTAATGCCTTACACAAGTAGAAAGCAAAATGTGTGGAACTATCTGCATTTTCCAATGTTATGCCCTGTTTAACCTTCTCAGTCAGTCACAGAAATGTTACTTTGTATTATTATTATATTGTATGAATCTTGCATGCTTTAAATATTGTTTGCAGTTGTCCTTGATGGGAAACACCAGTCTAACCTTGTGTGATTTTTGGTTCTCGGACTCTGCAAAACAAAAAGTAACTTTAAGGTATCCTTGGCTTTAGCCAGTCGGTATTGCTTTAAGACTAAAAGAATCACCAGAGATCCTTCTGTTCTGTCTGCTCATCAGATAAATTCACTTTACAGAAAAAAAAGTGTTTCATATGAGAAAAGTAAATAAAAGTAATTCACCGCCACACACCTGAAGGGTTTTTCAAAGTATTGATATATTTATTCAATACTCAGTGTCGCATACTGTCATACAGTGCTAATCCAAACAAAAATAAGGCCTTTTAGCCTTTACGTCACTGTCGCTCTGATGAAGGATCCCTGTGCTGACCCGAAACGTTAGCACTGTATGACAGTATGTGACATTGGGTATTGAATAAATATATCAGTACTTCAGAAACCTTCAAGTGTGTGCCGGTGAATTACTTTTATTTACTATTAGTGTTTTGCACGGCGCCATCCGTGTGGTCACCTGGGCACCACATATACCTTGTGGTTTTGAGACCGTGGCAGTGTGAATGGGATTTGGACTTCATATGAGAAAAGTGCAGAATGTTTTAGTCACATTAGAAATTCTCAGTTTGTAATTTTCCTCTACTTATTCTTCTTTTAGGGTTGACAAGGATCTTAACAAGAAGAGTGAAGACCAAGTCACTGAGCAATAATACTGTAGATGTGTGACTAAAGGCCGTCCATCACGGAGGGGGAAGATTGTCTGTTTCTTATTTTTGCAGTATCTAGTTGTATAGTTTTTGTGCTCCAAAAGGTGCCTTTTCAGCAGTGACTGTGGGATCTATCGTCCAGACATGACACCCCCATGGAAGCAGACTGTTACAAGATAACACAGGCATCCGACATGTTGCAATATACTTACAGCACATTTGTTGGTGCCCTACATATTAAACATTTGTGTAGCTCATTTTGGAGTACCAATTTATGAGAAGATAGTGTCAGAAGTACCCACCTTGCTTGCTAATAATATGGAGTCAGGACACCATCTGATGGAAAGGTTGCACAGTACTGGTTTGAAATCATTGCATATGTGGCAAGGCAGGGGTATTGTGGATTGAATTGCTTGAACTCTTGTATGCACTTTTTGACATTATAGTTTTATTTGCTTAGTGTCTGTAGCACCTAGCAGCAGTAAGGTGATTTTATCAGTATGTCTATTGGATTAGAGAAGGTGATAAATACTTAGAGTAACGTCCATAGTAGAAAATACTAAAATCTGTCAGGGGTAGTATTTGCAATGTGGATCACATAGTGTGTAGGGATTTTAGAGTAGTCAGAATGTGACGGTGTCAGTTTCGGAAAGATGTACAATATATTAGTTACAGCAGTATTGGGCCAGTTATTGACTTGTTCTTTGGTGCGCTTTTTGCACTTTAGTAAACCTAGCCTACATCTTTTCTCATTTAACACCCATCACAAATCTGTTGTAAAGAAGACCTGGAAGCTCTCTAATGACATATTGTTTCTGTGCAGAGGATTCCTTGGCATTTTTAATATGACTTTTGCTTATATTTTTTTTATCCATTTTTTCATATCCTGTGGCTAGTTTGAAGCATTTAAAATGCTAACGCCTTTCATTGTTTGCCACGTTTACATACTTGTATTAGTCACAAGGTCACTTCTTTAAATTGTGGCACAGTAGGTGATTTCATAAGACGGATTTTGTAAGTAAGGGCTTTGACACACTGCCAGTTTTATCCTGGAAATTTGTAGCAGCCACTTATTTCTCATTTTATATAGCAGATTGTAGCAGGTTGTGGTACTTACAGCTACAAATTGCAAGTGTTGCATATTCATCACCAGCTACATTGGAAAACAGCAGCTAACAAACCTGGAGGCTTTGCTGTTAGGTCCACCATATTTTCCTAACAGGACACCAAATGAGAATGACTTGTAGCTGTTTGTGTGACATCGCCCTTTTAAGACCATTCAGAAAGGTTATGTTGACATACATTGGTTATGCATGAAATAGCTTTATACCTAGTGGTGTTTTCTAAAATGACAGTTTAGCCCCCAAGTCATCATAAAAAATAGAGGGGGGAATTTATCAATACTGGAGCAGTTGTACATGGTAGCCAATCAGCTTCTCTCTTCCGTTTAGTCAGTTAAGATTTGAAAATGAAAGTGAGAAGCTGATTGGTTGCCATGCACAACTGCTCCAGTTTTGATACATTTCCCTCAATATCTTTGTGTGCCTTTTTAATTTTTGCCAACGATATGCACAACCTAAATTTTATGTATAGTATTATGGGACCTGAAAGTTTTCTGATGATGATTTTATTTTGCATTGTAAGTATGCACATTCAGAGTACATTTTATTAAGTAGAAGGACCATTCTTGATGGGCTTTTTGGGCAAATGCAACATACTTTTGACATCAGTGAGATGCTGCATTTAGAATTCATTGCAGGTGCATGTGACTTGCAGTTGACCTCCTTCTGGCCCGTATTTTACCTGCTTCAAGGTTGCTTTTGCGTTCCTTTTGGACTTGTATGGGGAGAAAAGCAGTTCTGAAGCCAACAAATGTCTGTCGACACTGGTCCTTACTCTGCCACCTACGCTACCAGCAGGAAGTTTCATGCATATACCCACACACACCTTGATTTTATAGAAATGTAGGGCTTATGCAATAAAGTAGTGCAAGGATCAAGGAATGTGCTGCAGCACATAACAACAAAGGCACATTTTAGTTTGTGAAAGGAGTTTCGGTAAAAGATGAATTTTGATTTGGCTACTGCACTCTTATTGAATAAACCTATGTGTTGTCTGCATCTCATCGACTACATATGGATGGGAGCCACATGTTTGTCAATATTTGCACTTTGACTATAAAGAACTTTACTTTTAAAAAATGTACAAATTGAATAAATATGTAAGTACATAGTTTGTTACATCAAAAATGTTAAAGCAGTAATTCGAGCTAATGTGGACATTATGTGGGCTATACATTATACAGATTGAGAGGGATGCCTCTGATGTTGGTGTGATGTCCTGCCTGGTATTGGTTGTTAATCTTAGGATTTGATGTTGTAACTGACTTTTAGTACTTTGGAAGAAAAAAAAAATGTTACTGGTTTTATATAAATTTCATTAAAATATAAGATGGGATTTTAATCTTGTTTTTATAGAGATAAAATTCAATACACACAATAAATTCCACTATTACAAGGCACCTATGACACTGCCAATACGGTGGGTGAACCACTGCACATGACAACAATGACTGTTATATTGGTTGCTTAACATAAACCTGTCAGCATCATAAAGGTACTGGAATAGGCTGCAGAGCACCAAGTGGTGCTTGCACATACCTTCGCATGCAGCATTTAACTCCACAATGTGCCATAAACCCAATTTAGTTGGGGATGGAGTGGACATGGCCACTCTGAGGTAAAGACCATGGCCCAGTAAAAAAAAAAAGTGCATAGAAGCTTCTGTTGAATAAATTAAGCAATCCGAAGATACTTATTTACTGTACATGTTTCATTGTGGTGCTGTACAGGCTTTTGAACAACAATGCAGACACCTGCTGGCTTCTGCACATTACTTTGAAGCATCTACAGAACTGAAAACTATACAAAGACTAGTGCGATGTAGCGGGAAATGTACATATATTATTTTTTTTTTTTGTCATGTCAAGCTCTGGCTCGCCCCCCTCGTTACATTCCTAGCGCAACACTACCAAAAGACATTAAGCTTGTTCATTATAGTACCTTGTATTTTGTAGAACCTGGTGGTACCCCCAGATTATTAGGATTGTTCAGTAAAATTAGAGGAAGCTTTTTACATTTTTTTTTTTTTATTTATATGGATGTCTTGACCTCCAAAATGGTTGCATTTGCTTTATCCCTAACTAAACGGCACACATCACCCTAAACATTCATATCTGTAAACTGGAGTGGTTTTGCTCACTTTTTTTGGTAAATACCAGACTTGTCTTGGATGCTACATTGTGATCATTAGTACATATGCACACATTCTGCTAAAGGCTGAATGTAACTGTCACTGGATTCACTACATTTAACAAAAGTGGGGTGTAAAGTTCCTAATATGGTAGGGTCAGACCATCCAGATCTGATCTAGTTTTGTTTTTGATAGATGCCAGTGAGTTGAAATACTTTTTATTTTCTTATGTCTTAAATGATTCCACAGCTCTGTGCTAGAATTCTTGGGATGGATCTCTTCTAGAATTCTTGGGATTACTCATCTGCTTCTGCAGTTTCAAGGGAGGTGCATTCTCCCTGTTGGGAGTTAATTTTATATGGTCAAGAATGTACCAGGTGTAGTGAGAACACCCTGCTATAGCAGGAGAATTAAGACTCGCAAATGTGCTGTGGTAAGGTTGGTAGGAACAGGCACTGGAATCTTTGTAGAGAGATCTTGACTATGGACACTCTCTAATCGGTATAAGAAACAATAATGTGACTTGGCCCACTGAACTCCATAAAGCTGGCCATACACCTTACAATTATCTGCAGATTTTCTGTGGTCAGATGTAAAAGGTGCAACAGATTGGCCCAGGTGGAGATTACTCCATCCACACAGTTAGGTGTAGATGGAATCTGTTGCACCTTTTCAATCTGACCACAGAAAATCTGCAGATAATTGTAAGGTGTATGGCCAGCCTAAAACTGAAATTCGAGTCTTGGGTGGATTGAACATTTTACTGCAGCTTCAAGTGTGATGATGTTTATGACGGCGGCAACAAAGCTAGCCACAGGGAACTCTGGTATATCTTGATATTCTACAGGGAAATGACTGGCTCTGAGGGAATGGTCCCTTTGAAACCTCGATCCCGAAAGTATTGTAACCGTAAATAGCATAACAAAGTGGCACCCAATAGTTACTCTGTGAATGTTGCAAGCTTGCAAGGGAAACTGATGCTGTCTTTTCACTTGTTTACCATAATACCTACCTTTTTACTATTTTATTAGAATTGTTTTATGTACAAAAATCCTTTGTTTTATGTATATAGCATACACCTTCACAACTTTTATCTGGAAAATGCATGTTCTTTATTGAAATATTTATATTCATAAAATAGAAAAGGACAGAGCTAATATATATTTTTGTGAACGATATTTCATATTGTGCTCCCTGTCCCCCTTAGCAGGCAAGTGCTCAGACCTTCATTGACTGTTGTAAAGAACACATAATATAGCTGTGGGAAGGGTGTCTACATGGCAATGTTCCTGTTCTCACAGATATATATGCAAACTTGTGGAATATCTATTAACCCTTTGTACTGGGCAGGTAAATATATATATAACTGTGCAAAAAGACTGGTTCGTTTTTTGTTTAATAAACATCAAATCCAGATATGAATTGTATTAACTTGGCTTATTTTTCAGTATCTGATATGGAGAGCGCATTATAAGCAATGGGGTTGTCTGCAGGGGACTTTTTTCTGTTGCTTATACATAGGGGAATTTATCAAAATCTGGAGCAGCTGTGCATGGCAACCAATCAGCTTCTCTGTTTCATTTTCAAAGCTTAACTGAACAGAAGCTGATTGGTTGCCCTGGGCAACTGCTCCAGATTTTGTCTGCGCCCGTTTTGATGAATTCCCCTCCATGTGTTCTATACAATTTGTTTGTGTAATAGACTATAGAAAGTTATGACTTTAATATGGTCAAAAATAAAGTCTAGTAACTACTCTGTAGATATCATTTAGAGGTTTCTGGTAGTGAGATCTGGTTACCAGGGATTACTTCTACATATCGTGTCTTTTCCTGCTTACTTTTTACATATCATGTATTTTCCTGCTTTACTAAGTTGGACCAATAGTCTACTGTAGACTGTAACTGGCTAAAAGAAGCCTGATTGAAAAGGTATCTCTTCAAATTCTTGATTGGATATGGACCCCACAGAGCTCTGGTGAGACCATACAGAGCCCTGGGTTATTCAGGGCTCTGTGGGGTCTCACCAGGGCTCTTTCGGGGTCTCACTTGGGCTCTGTGGGGTCTCACCAGCCTGCTTAAACCCCACCGAGCCCTGGTGAGACCCTGCAGAGCCCTAGTGAGATCCCACAGGCCTGAGTGGGGCTTCATGTTTAGGTCTCGCCTAAGGTCTCGCAAACTCTAGAGCCGCCTCTGCCCACCGGTGACCCTTAGCGCTGCACATTCATATATACTGTCTACAAACTGACAGGAAGGGCTCTAGCAATACAAACAATAATTGAGATATTACATTGCTGCATGTTGTGTGATCTTTGTTTATATTCTTGCCAGGCAAAATCTAGAAACCCAAAACCTTCGGTGTCACCTAGCATTGCTGTGAAATTGTGAATCAATACTCTGTCCAGAAACATGATTATATGGCTAGATCATTCGCTCGTGCTCCTGTCAGATTCCAAAAACAAGCTGTCCATCCCATCATATTAGCCTTCAGCTCACAAAGTGATAGGAGAAAAGCCCCTGAGCATTTTGTATTAGAATCTGTCCATCAGATCTAAAGGAAACCCCA